TAATTTTATATATATACTATCTATTCCGCAAACGTAGATATAAACACACATATATTGAGAATTCTAAGTTTTAGAACATCGGATATATGTGACATGGGATGATCATCTGAGCCATCTAACACGTTCGCTGTTTGCTGTACTGGGAACGAGTTATTTGTTATTATTGTGTATCATAAATTCTAAATAGAAGTTCGCCAAAATGGCGGATTCTTGCAAGCGTTTTAAGGCATGCAAAATTCGCGTTAATACGCAGTCAACAAAGGGAAAAAAAACTACAAGACATGTGCGTTTAAATTCAAAGAACTATTGCAAGATTTCTCAGGAGTCAAGTTCGAGTAAGCAGAAGTCTTTCACAACGGGAATGGAAGAAGAACATGTTGATGGTTCAAATATTACCATTTGCAAGCGACCGTTCGGCGCAAACGTTTTCACGCGTTTTCTTACGTTTCAAACGTGCACGTTAGGCGGACCAAACATACATGCTGAAACGTATAAACTAATTAGTTTAGACTGTGAGTTGACATTGTTTGACATGTCACGCCCACATGTCCAACAAACGTAAGGGCGTCATTCCAGCAAGATTTCAGACATAACATTCGTATTGAGGCGTTTGCGATTTTACAGAATCAAATGTCAGTACAAGTAAAAATTATATATGGTCGTGATTACGATCGTTGTAAAACGAGTTCAATCTCATCTAATAGTCTGAAAGATTTGGATTTAGCGATGCTGTCTGAAATTGTTTGGGACACGGTGGGCAGCTATTATCGAGATGGACGGGATCCAAAGTCCTTGAGAATCCAATATCGTGACGATGAGGGTACATTTGTTACCATTACTGGAGAAAATGATGTACAGGATGCTGTTCGTTCATGTAAGTCAGTGCTTCAGGGAGACTACGAAACGGTCCGATTGTGTTTGCGTGTTGATGACGCCTGGACGCCGTTGGGGATGAAAGAAACCAAACCACTGGAGAAACCTCAAGAGAAACGGCCTGCTGTATCTCGCGATGCAAGGAAAAGATTATTTGAGCACGACCAAAAAGAACAAACAATGTATTCTTCCGATTCTTCCGACGAAGCTCAGTCTGTTGTTGCTGAAACACCTTTTCAAAGGTATGTGAAAAAAGTTAAAGATCGCATAGCCGCAAAAAGGTCTGAACTTTACAAACTCGAGAGCAACGAACAGGAGGTGCAAAGGAAAATATTACGAGTTAAATCAAATCCAACCGAAGGTAACTTATGCCGAAATTGTCACATGCGTTTAGGGCATACTGCACGTCATTGTGACTATGAAAAATGCTTATCTATTTTTGCTTGTGGTGAAGAAAAATTGCACCCTGGTGAAATAGACTCTCGCGGGGCTCGTAATTCGATAAAAAAAGTCAAAGACGAAATTGCTAAACTCGAGAAAGACCTAAGTCTAAAGGAAGAACAAGCGAATAAACTGTCTGAAAGTTTGTCAAATAAAATTGAAAAGGCCCTTATGAAAGAGAGCGGAAACCAGTATATTGACGGGGGAATAAAGAAATGGGCACTTTTGCGTAAACACGTCTATATTCTCGAGAAACACTGTAAAGAACACTTCGAAGGCAGAATACCTGCAAAGCACAAACTTTCGGATATTTTAGAGGTCGCCTTAGAACGAGAAGATGTTTCAGGAGACGAGTACAATGCCAATTCAAGCATGTCGCAAGTCAAAACCAAAAGAACCAGGGCGCTGAAAAGAACAAATCCGGCCAAAGCTCTTTTGCAAGAAAAAGGGATTTCATTTCCTAATCCCAGCGACCAAGCTACGTCCAGCTCGCATTCAAGTTCTGTTCATCGTTGCGCGCCATCAAATGTTCAAGAAGAAGCAGAGCAGCTCAACATGGTATTGAAACAAAGCTTATTAGACTCTTCAGTTCAACAGGAGTCTTTAGTTCAGCAGGAGCAGCGATCTCTCTTTACAACTGTAGCAAATGCTTGTCCCGAACCCATTCCGACACCTTATCAATTAAACAACACTGCGCCAAGTTATACATTTCAAGATTTTCCAAATTATTCTTACGGGAATATGAACCCATATTTCTATCCATACACGCCAACAGTTCAACAGCCAGTGTTTCATCCATCTGATTCCTGTCGTGTAATTTATGCGAGCAGTGATCCTGCAATTTCATCTGGAAACACTGGTACTGCTGCAAGTTTATCCGAAACCACTGCTGCGCCCAACACTATTTCACGTCCTAGTGCATCAGAAGTTCTGACATCGACAGAGTCAGAGACCAGGGATGCAGCATTACATTTAATGTTTCTCTCGTCTGGAAATGACAAATGTCTCAAGTAAGAAAGCTTTTCAATCATGTATGTTGTGTTATATCATAGACACTGTTCTATCATAGTATTTAGTTTTAGAAGCAACTATAAGTAGAAGTTTTCATATTATTCTAACTAAATATACCGGGTAAATGTATTACTGAAGGCTAGATATAAACTTGAACAGATAGCTAACCAGTATAAAGTTTGTAAATTATTTTCATTTTGTTTTAATTTTGTTTACATTTCATGAGGGTCATCCAAGCCATCGGTTGATGAATTTATATTTCGATTTTCGTTTGTATTGCACTCATGCATTGATCCATTGATCAACAATATTATTTAGTTCGTATTATATTTTTGAGAGTGCTAGCTATAGATTTAGAATAGGCTAAATATCTTTGATACTTTCATACTTTATAGATAATTGCTATACTTTTATTCTCGGCATATTATTACTGTAATTGTCTTCAAAACTTACCGAGTTTGAGAGGTTTGATTTGCTTTGCAAGATCATTTTGTTTATAGCAACCTGTGACTGTGTACTCTTCAAGTTCGAACCATAAGTTTGAGAAAACGTTATTTTGTTATCAATTATATCATCATGTTTGTAATAAATATAACGACAATTATTGCTGACAGTCAGGTTTATTACTTAACTGTCAGTTGCGTGCCACGCGTGACCTTTATCCCGCGGCGGAAAACTGACATAGCCCTGTTTACACTACATTCAATTTATTGGCACGGCACGGCAAAAATTGGCACCCGTACCTTATTTTATTAGTTTTCAGACTACCAATACAAAGGTGGGGCATGGATGAAATAAGCACGAGTACCCATTTTAGCCATGCCGTGCCGATAAATTGATTATATGACACTGTTTTTCCCCGAAAACAGGGCCTTTTTAACTGGCGGGCGAAAGCTCCTTCCCCAACAAACCTCACTCCGCCGAGATGGTGCAACAGTAAGTATCGCCGAAAATGCAGGAAATCAAGTCGGAGACTAAAAAATACAGGAAATTATCTGCGGGTGTTCCCCCAGACCCCTACAAACTCCCCTATTTTTCAATTAACAATTTCAGTACAATTTATAGTTAATACAATTTGTTCATGCCCACCCACTAACGATTTCTTAAAAAAACCCTACCCCAAAATCCTCAAATACCATTTTAAATGCAGTTATCAAAGTTTTGTGAGGTCAAATGTAATATTTACAATTAACACAATGTCAAACTTTACAGATATATTCAACTTTACCAAAGCAATGATATTGCTGAATCATTCTGTTATATCAATGTACGAAAATACGAAACTTAAATGTTACAAGTATTTTGTGTGAAATGTTTCAATGTATTACTGTTTGTAAGCATCACCCAACGAAAGGAAAAAGATAAGCTGTATGACGATAAAACCTCCTCGTATCCAACGCTGATATTCTTTCGACCGCTTCTGCAACAGCTAATTTTAGATTACGATGAACGTCGGCTGAAAACCGTCCGTTAAGTTCTGTTTTTATTTTATTGAAACAAAGCTCAATAGGGTTAAGATCGGGAGAATATGTTGGGGTGAACAATAGCTCGATACCCATCTCAGCTAAAACTTCTTCGAGAATTTGGCCGCCTTCGTAGTGGTGGACAGCTAAATTGTCCATCACAACGATATCCCCTACTTCGAGAGCAGGACGTCGAGTTATCTCATGTGCTGCTTGAGAAGCCTCCCAGAAGAAATCCCAGAACCTTACAGTGTCAGTTGGGCCATCCAGAATGTTGTAATATTCAGGGCCATTGACTGAAATCAGTAAATTTAAAGTAAAATTTGGAGATTCTGTTTTTCGAACAATTTCCACGCAGCGTTCCCCGGACGGCGCATTTCCGTATAAACGTGTACCGATGCACGGCGTCTTAACCCCCGCCTCATCAAAGAACTTAATCCTTCTCGGATCTTTTGAAGATAGGTAGTTGATGAAAAGCTGAGTATAAATCATATTTTCATCAGTAAAGCGCTCAAAGGCTACGCTGGTAATACGCTTCCGAGTATATCGTTTTCCGGACAGAAGTCTGGATTTTATTGCTCGTGAAATCGATGACAACGAAACTTCACCACAATCACCAAATTCCTCAAGTATAGCATATAATTCATTCAGCTGAATTGTGCCATGAGCTCGCTTAAGAACCTCAAGAAGTTCGAGATCCCCTTCAGAAAATTTGCTTGAATGATCTCCGCCTTTTGGTGATGGATCAACCTTTCGTCCTTGGTAGCAAAAATTCTTCCATATTTTGGAAACTGTATTTGCAGAGATACTGAATCGACTAGCTATTTCTACGTAAGTGACGGGCAAGTAACCAACAGTTGCATCTCCACCAGACTTAAGGCATTCATCAATAATTAGACGCCTTAAATCACTATCAAGTGATTTACCAAGGCTGTATGATCTACCAAATTTATTGACATGCATAATGTAAAAGCTACAGAAGATTATGTGTGGAAATATAGAACTAACACATGCAAGTATATTTAGAAATGTGCGCGCTTACGTTTGTTGGACATGTGGGCGTGACATGTCAAACAATGTCAACTCACAGTCTAAACTAATTAGTTTATACGTTTCAGCATGTATGTTTGGTTTGCCTAACGTGCACGTTTGAAACGTAAGAAAACGCGTGAAAACGTTTGCGCCGAACGGTCGCTTGCAAATGGTAATATCGACGATATAAATAGCAGCCATGAAAGTGATGACCAAGCTTTTTCTAGTCTTTCACGATATCACTTGCGCCGGGTGAAAGAGTATCACAGTTGGGAAGATGTGAGGGGGTCTCTTTTGCAAGCACGCATTGAGGAAGAAGCTTTTTGTGACGAAAGTATAATGTGCATCGAGTGCCATAACAACTTCGCTGTTTGTCGCTGCGTGGATTGTGGTCCTAGACAGTTGTTTTGCATCAACTGCGCGAAAACTATCCACGAACAACGCAACGTCTTTCACCTACTTGAAATTTTCAAGGTGCGTGTGATGTTTTTGGCGTAAAATATAACATATTTCAATATCTTTTATATGTATATTACATATTCAGAACTGACCCTACCCCAGACCCAACTGTTTAAAAATTAATGTTGCTTATTTTCTCAGGATGGTTGTTTTGTTCCTTTATTTGTTAATCATGGTGTTTTGACTCTTGATCACCAAAGAAATTGTCCAACTGCACAAGCACAAAACATTATTTGTATTGATGAAAAAGGTGGGTTTATTGGTACTGTGGATTTGATAACTGTATTCAAGTTTGTTTTCAGTCCTAAAATAATTGTGAGAAAAGTTCTGTAAGTTTCTCCTTGGTGCATTTTTATTAGGGCATCAACACTTGAAATGGATCAACTTTTGTAACTGTGAAGATGCTGCAGTTACACTTGTAAAGTTCCAATTATGGCCAGGATCAGCTGTTAGACTCAGGTTGCATTTCATTTTAAGTTGGTTACACTTGCTGAGACACTTCTATTGGAATGCCATGTATCGTTAAAGAAATTTTGTGATGTGTTGGGCCTCAATAAGTCCAATATGCTTCCTGTTTGGGTATGTTATTTTGTTGTACATTTGAAGCTGAGTAATTCCATGCTATTTCAACATCATTCAGAACAAATTCTTGACACCTAACCTTTCCAAATACTTTATGTTTATATATTTTCTAAATAGACAATTCTTGATTAAAATATAATAATAATATAGCATACTGCATACCAAGTATAAATTATTATATACTGTGTAATATTTATCTGTGTGAAAATGACATGGGATTAACTATATAAACTCTAAATGCTCTAAATGACAATAACTTGACTGTTTTATTAACACTTTGATGCTTGGAATCTCCATTGGACAAGTAAAATCATATAGGGTTAGCCAGAGTAAAATACTAGAGTCATGCCATGGGCATTAAATAGATAAAGAAAATAACTATAATTTATTACATATTATTGATTCCAGCTTTAATGAGATATTTCAATTTGTTTGATATATAAGACATTAAATTATATTTGCCTACTAATTATGATGTTAGTTTGGTTGCCAGCTAACTAGTATACAGTAACTATAAAGTCTACAAAGTGCAGATACTCATGTTCCGAGCGAAGTTTAAAATTTCATAATTAGTGGACGTGCAAATATACACTTATTTACATATCACACAAATTGGAATGTCTCGTTAGCAAACCATGAAATGAAGTGAGAAACTAGAAAATAAGTTATATATACATGTGAAACATATTAAAGATTTCTTTTGTGTTATAAAATAATCAATGTTATGTCATATATGGTACACTTTAATTATATACCATAGATAAATAAATTTATTCATACATTATATATTTTTTTTGGTTTTCTAAGGTTAAGAATCTCTATAAAATATTGAATGATGATTCTTTTGATGAATTTAGGTAGGGGCGTATTTTGGTTAACTGCATGACACAGTACTGTTCTTGTCAAATATTTTATTTATTGTTTTTGCAACTTTTTATGATAAATTTTAAACTTCAATTCTATATATATATATATATATATATATATATATATATATATATATATATATATATATATATTTACAATACCAACAATAATATTTTATTTATGTAGATATCACCAACATTTGTTCAAAACAATGAAACAATTTGTCTTGCAACAAAAACCTGACAATGTTTGCCCGTTATGTCCTTTGCAGGTATAGAACTCCACAGGTATTTTTTCTTTTATGTCACATTCTCCTTTTTGTATTTAACATATTGTGATAATTTTGTAGAGTGAAACTGATACTGACAAGAATGTTGCCATTGAGTGCATGGATGGATGTTTTGGGCTTGTGAGAAAAAGTCTGCTGGTGCGAATCTTTTACCTGCCAGACACAATGGTACATTTTTTGCCAATCAGGATGATGTCGATAGCTTTGTTGATGACAACTCAAAGAAGGCAAAGCAAGCCCCTACTGTAAGTGGTTACTGGTGATTGTACTGTAAAAAGTAGTTTTGTTGAATATTATCATTATTATAGAAGAATCCACTGTTTTTCCTAGGATTGCAATGAATTTAAATCTGGTGAGGTTAGTAACATGTTACGATCCAAAGGAAGAAATAAGCTTTTTGACGAGAAGGGAGTGTTTGGTAGAGTATGCAGACATGAATACCCAAGGGGATTTATGAGTATCAAACATGGAGAAAGGTGAGCAAACAGTCATCAAATTAAAGTGCAAGTGTACATGTTGATAGTAATTTAGTGCAACATACTGTATATTTTAGGATAGCATATTCAGTGTATGAGGTTAAAAAGCTTCTGTGTCATTATGATGAGGATACTGATGTTAAAATAATGTATGACATTGCATGTACTTTGTCTGCCCACCTAAAGGTAAGGTATAGGCATAGCTGCCTGATTACAGTTTAAATTCTAAGAAGAAGTAAAGTTCTGTCATTTGGAGATGTAATCTCATGTGCAATTTTACATGTATTGAATATTTATTATATATGAATTTCAATATCCATTTGCATATATATTTTATTTTTGATAGAAAAACGAAGAGCATACCATTCTTGGACGCATTGACTTGGCAATTCCTGTTTTCCATGCATATGGACATAAATCTTCTTGCCAGGTCAATATATGGTTTAGAAGTTGTCGGTTTTGTTATCAAAAATTTAATTGTCATTCTTAGGTGCAGTCATGCAGTATGTCGCATGTTGTTATTTATCTCAGAATTGTCCCGAAATGTAGGTTGCTTTTGGTCCTAGAAGAAAGGAGGGATTTGGCCTTACTGACGGTGAAGGAATTGAAAGACTTTGGTCTTACCTCAGAGGATTTTCATCAATGACAAAGGAAATGACAGCTGGTCGAAGGGTTGACGTATTAACAGATGCGCTTCTTCACCATGCAAGACATCGTCTTCTACAGTTTGGCTAGTTGAATATTTCTGCCTTGGTGGATTTATGCCACCAATATCATTACAGTATTGGTAATCTTTTTGCGACTATATATTTGTAATTCAATGCTTGATTTTTCCCCACAGGTCCGGCATTGTTGTCTAAAATGCAAAAAACAAAGAAACTAATGGAAAACTCAGTAGTACAGTTGGAGGAGATCTTTTCAGATTTAAAAGGTAGAACATCTTATCTAACATTTGATAGTATTAAACAGTTATTGGATGAGGCTTTGTATATGCGGAAAATTTCAATGTAAGTGTTAGTATCATAGTGCTGTCATAGGTCGAATTACGTTATAATAGAAAGTCTTTCAATTTCAGTTTCCTATGGTACTGATGTAATTAACTCTTGGATGAAAGCAGAAGAGAATATGTTGTTAACGAGAGGCAGTATGTACCAATTATAACGTAAGGAAATACCGTGTTCATTTGTAACAAGACGTGTAATATTATCATAAACTGTTGATGTTGTAGAGAGAAAACCATCGCCCATGTCGTGGGAGGCTAAATACGTACAGAACTTAGTTTTCTTGCAGGAACTGAGGTTAGACTGATAATGATATATTTTGTGCATTTCCTGGCTGATTGTTCATTTATTTTTAATTAACAAAATATTTTCTAATACTTATAATGGTATGCTACAGACAAGGCATTGCTTCAACAGAAGCTGAAAATCATGAAACCATAAACGAGCTTGTAAAGAGGAAGAAAGCGTAAGTATTGGAACTAGCGACCGAATAGAATTGTTTTTGGTGTTAAAAGTCATATATACCTTTATGTAACTTCAGGATTTTAAAAATTGTCATGGGAATTGAAAAAAGCTACAAGGTTCACCCAAGATGGAGAATGGGCGAGGAGAAATTCAACGTGGCAGCATTGTCTGTTCTTCGGGATAGGCGAAACCAAGCATTAGAAAAATTATACTCACTTGCAGTCGAACGTATGTTCTTATTAAATTTGAAGCGAAAATATGCAGGTATTTTTTTTTTGCTATAACTCAAATTGTGATCGTTTGATGATCCAAGAATTATGCTTGGTTGTTTAGTTTAGGTTGGCACCATATAATTATCAATTAAGCGGACTAGTGATTCAATATAAACTGCCTTTTATTCAAAATGAAGGCAAAACAAAATAATGTAAACATTAAAAAGGCTTGCGTCGCGTAGACGCGTACGACCCCTTTAGTAGTCCTATGTTATAATGGAAGTTAAAGTTCGTATGCTAATACTGTAATGGTAAAACTGTTTTAAGTTTTCAACATGTTTATTCACGGTGTGCCGTATCCTATGAATCGACATTACTTTCATTTGTAATGATGAGCTTTAATTTAAAATGGGAATTCCCACTCTAAGTTTGACATGACTCATTCGTTTGTGTTTTTTTATCGATTAATAGACGGCCAAGCAATTGCAGAGAAAGTTTCTAAGCAGATAACACAAAGGACGAATTCTGCTAAAGTAGTTGTTGAAAAGTACAACGCTAGCCTTGCTGCTTGGAAAGACAATGTAACTGGGTTGCCAGAAGAGCTAGAGTTTGACAAGGTAAAAGATCCAGAATCCGACCTATATAAGGATTTCAGAGAAAGCACTTTGAGTGAGGATCAAGTTCCATATTCTGTGAAGAAAAGCGCAATAGATTTGCATAATTTCATCGAAAGATGCAAGGAGGAAACAAGTTATTTGAAAACTGAAATGTGTAGGCTTGTTACGTATCACCAAACCCAAAAGTCAAGTTTTTTAGAATGGCTGAAGGACAACAATGACTCGTCATCAACCGTACTCATTCGAGGAATTCGGTGCATACTTCAAAGAAAGATTCTGGAAGAGGAAAACAAACTAATTGTTCTTGGTGCAACGTTTGGCAATCACCTACCAGATAATGTATCATCGTCCATTCCAAAAATCGAATGGAGTCATGAAAGCACCATGCCCTCTACCAAACACGTTTTCGAGAACTTGGATCAACTAGATGACCAAAAGGAACAGAGTGAAGAACAGGACGATGAGATATTGTCAATTTTAGACAGTTCAGATGACGAGGTTGAAGATGAATCTGAAATGGATTTCTAAATAAATGCAAAGCTCTCTGTATCATTTTGCATGATGTTTGATGTACATAATAGGTTTTTTAATTATATATCTTGTCTATACAATCTGATTTATTTTTGGTGCACAAGCATAGTCTCCGTCTAATGTGTGGAAACATGCATGTTTTAATTTATTAAAAGAAAAATTAAAAAATTATATAACAACAAATATTAAATTAAATTATTAAAACAATTGAAATAATTTGTCCCGCGCATATTACGCTTTAGTATAAATTTCCAGGTGACTATTGATTTTTCCTGCATCCTCATTGCTCAAAATTCACTGTGTTTGAAGTGATAGTCTCTTGTTGGTGAATATAGCTCTGTTGTTTTTTAAATAAGAAATTTGAATAATATTCTTGTATGTTTGCTTGGTGACATCAATAATTAAATTAGCTTGTGTAAGTGCACCACCTAAGTATTTTTAAAATACAGCAAGTTTAATGCAGTGTTAAATACTAACGTGGGGTACCTACAAGTTAAATTAATTAAGAAATTTGAAGTAATTATTATGTTGATTCAACTGTGTATCATTTTTGGTGATCAGAATAGATGTGCAAAGTTTCAAACAGTAATTACTTCGTGAAGTTTGAGTTCAATCACGCATGATCTGCTCTGACACCCTATAATTGCACCTAAGTTAGAAAAGCTAAGCCTATTTTTTTCATCGCGCACTTCCATTCTCTCAATTGAGCTGAAATTTAACTGTGTATAATTTTTTGTGATACAAATAGTTGTGCAAAGTTTCAAGCAGTAATTCCTTCGTGAAGTTCGAATTCAATCACGCATGATCTGCTCTTAAACCCTATAATTACACCTAAGTTAGAAAAGCCAAGCCTATTTTTTCATCGTACACTTCTAATCGCTCAATTGATCTGAAATATTAACTGTGTATCATCTTTTGTGATACGAATAATTGTGCAAAGTTTCAAGCAGTAATTCCTTCGTGAAGTTTGAATTCAATCACGCATGATCTGCTCTGACACCCTATAATTACACCTAAGTTAGAAAAGCTAAGCCTATTTTTTCATCTTACACTTCCAATCTCTCAATTGATCTGAAATTTTAACTGTGTATCATCTTTTGTGATACGAATAATTGTGCAAAGTTTCAAACAGTAATTCCTTCGTGAAGTTTGAATTCAATCACGCATGATCTGCTCTGACACCCTATAATTACACTTAAGTTAGAAAAGCTAAGCCTATTTTTTCATCGTACACTTCCAATCTCTCAATTGATCTGAAATTTTAACTGTGTATCATCTTTTGTGATACGAATAATTGTGCAAAGTTTCAAGCAGTAATTCCTTCGTGAAGTTTGAATTCAATCACGCATGATCTGCTCTGACACCCTATATTAATTACACCCCTAAGTTAGAAAAGCTGAGCCTATTCTTTCATCGCGCACTTCCATTCTCTCAATTGAGCTGAAATTTTAACTGTGCAGAATTTTTTGTGATACAAATAGTTGTGCAAAGTTTCAAGCAGTAATTCCTTCGTGAAGTTTGAATTCTATCACGCATGATCTGCTCTGACACCCTATAATTACACTTAAGTTAGAAAGCTAAGCCTATTTTTTCATCGTACACTTCCAATCTCTCAATTGATCTGAAATTTTAACTGTGTATCATCTTCTGTGATACGAATAATTGTGCAAAGTTTCAAGCAGTAATTCCTTCGTGAAGTTAGAATTCAAGCACGCATGATCTGCTCTGACACCCTATATTAATTACACCCCTAAGTTAGAAAAGCTGAGCCTATTCTTTCATCGCCCACTTCCAATCGTTTAATTGAGCTGAAATTTTAACTGTATAGAATTTTTTGTGATACAAATAGTTGTGCAAAGTTTCAAGCAGTAATTCCTTCGTGAAGTTTGAATTCTATCACGCATGATCTGCTCTGACACCCTATAATTACACCTAAGTTAGAAAAGCTAAGCCTATTTTTTCATCGTACACTTCCAATCTCTCAATTGATCTGAAATTTTAACTGTGTATCATCTTCTGTGATACGAATAATTGTGCAAAGTTTCAAGCAGTAATTCCTTCGTGAAGTTAGAATTCAAGCACGCATGATCTGCTCTGACACCCTATATTAATTACACCCCTAAGTTAGAAAAGCTGAGCCTATTCTTTCATCGCCCACTTCCAATCGTTTAATTGAGCTGAAATTTTAACTGTGTAGAATTTTTTGTGATACAAATAGTTGTGCAAAGTTTCAAGCAGTAATTCCTTCGTGAAGTTTGAATTCTATCACGAATGATCTGCTCTGACACCCTATAATTACACCTAAGTTAGAAAAGCTAAGCCTATTTTTTCATCGTACACTTCCAATCTCTCAATTGATCTGAAATTTTAACTGTGTATCATCTTCTGTGATACGAATAATTGTGCAAAGTTTCAAGCAGTAATTCCTTCGTGAAGTTAGAATTCAAGCACGCATGATCTGCTCTGACACCCTATATTAATTACACCCCTAAGTTAGAAAAGCTGAGCCTATTCTTTCATCGCCCACTTCCAATCGCTCAATTGAGCTGAAATTTTAACTGTGTAGAATTTTTGTGATACAAATAGTTGTGCAAAGTTTCAAGCAGTAATTCCTTCGTGAAGTTTGAATTCAATTACGCATGATCTGCTCTGACACCTTATAATTACACCTAAGTTAGAAAAGCTAAGCCTTTTTTTCATCGTACACTTCCAATCTCTCAATTGATCTGAAATTTTAACTCTCTACAGTAATTGAACATCATTATGAGATGGTTTTGCACAAATAGAGAACTAAAGCAAAGAACTGTGAGTTATTGAGAAATTCATGATGATTGGACGTGAACTAGAAGAGACTTACGCCTGTATTCAAAAAGCTCACTCACACTCGTACTCATCGAGTGTGACATATAAATTTCGTTAATGCTGATCAATGAGAAAGTTTTTTCTGAACAGATGGAAAGATATAAGGTAAATCACTGAAAATCAAGCCCCTGTTCGGCTGGAAATACCGCCATTGAAACGTTATGAGAAGATTAAGATCTCCCACTCAATGAGTTTGAGTGTTAGTGAGCTTTTAGAATACAGGCGGGCAGTTCCTGGGTAAGAACCTATTTTAGATGGATATAAACATCGTAGTGTAACATGAGATCTGTTCTAATTTGAAACTAAAGGGGCCTTTTCAAACCATGCATGTACACCTTTCATAGTTGGTAACGGAAAATGCGACTACCAGGATTCCATTAGACTGCAGTTGTTGGTTTGGTCCGGTTTGCACATAAATTAATACATTCTAACAGCCGAAAGAAATAGCGGGCAATGTGATAGAATATTTGTCGGAAACTTTTTGAGGTAACAGCTTTCAAATAGATAAGGCAAAATAATTTGATGACTTCATATTTCAAAAATACGCTCTATTGCAGGCGAACTTTTAATTAAATGCATGTCATTATGCATGTGTCCAGATGACTGATGATGACAAGGTCAAGGTGCGTTGACGAATCATTACAAACACAAATGCAAATGTAACGTAATAAGCCTTTAAAGTGCCCATGTCATAAAATTGGAATTCAGATTTTTAGAATCTTTGTTTGAAATGAGTTAGTAAGTTCTAAATCAAAACTGAAATTGGATTTTTATTTTTCGAGTTATTTCCATCTAAACATTGATTTTAGTGGAATGAAAACTCTGAAAACCGCGCAAATGAGACTGGTGCGAAACAAGGTGTTTGACGTCACAATAGGAACTCGTTCGACGCGACAATTTAGTAACTCTATTGCTTGGAGTAATAAGTAGAAGCTAACCGCGCAAAAAAGTGGTTGTTCTTACTTAACAGACAATTCTGTATAAAGTGACTCATATATTATCAAAATGTGTTGTGAATGGCTTTAATATTTGTACGTTCCTGGCAACAGTCGTGTAATAATTGCAACTACGCCATGAGTCATGACCAATTGAGTCATTAGTGAGCTTAAGCAAGTGACGTTTTTGACAACACGTACGTTTACCGGAAGTAAAGTTTCTGTTTTTCACCAATCACAATCCTTGACCCAGTCTTTTCACGTTACTCATGCCGTTTGTGTTGTCAAAAACGTCGCTTGCTTAAGCTCACTACTGTGTTGTAAACACGTTAGGCAGTGTTTCAGTTAACAGATAAAGGTTCGGTAAATAACGTCTCAAAAGATGCGAGTGCGCACATTTTAGTAAAGACAGCTAAAGAATGTTGGTAAAAAGATGCCATAATAAAAGCGACATGTACTGGGTTTATTTATATACACATGATTTGATATGTTTCTTTTGCGCGAGACGTGTTAGATTTCTCAGTTAATATCGATAACTCTCAGTCTCTCATTGAACTATTTTTTTTGAAAGCGCATAGGAACTCCACTCATACTCTAGCTCAGTTGATTTGTAATGAAAATAAACCAGAGAATCACACAGGCATGCGTGACTTAACTACACATAAACACATTGTAGAAATACCGGCACTCATGAGCCACAGGAAAACCTCAATCATAATGCTATTAATATAATATTTATATAGGGCAGTGAAATGTATTAGGGGTCCGCGTCCGCCTTTTATCTACACCCGGGTGAACCGTATGTGCGCAATTACGAATGACGATCAACTAGGATGAAACTTTAGAATTAAGTACAATTGCCAGAATACTAACACAGAATCTATTTGTAATTTGAATACTGTATATCTGGCGTAATGATATTATGTTCTGGGGTCACGGAAAGCAAGTCGCGCAATCAAGATCATAAGAAAACATTTGCTTTTACTGACGCCTACGATCAAGTCTTCGTTGTAGTTTCGATGCCATGATCGTTGCACGATTGCACCATTTCGCGATAGCTTTTCAGCTTATCATCGGCATCTGGTTCGTTAATGTATGGTCCGAAGTGTTCTTACTGCCTGACAAGGCAGACATTGACCGGCGTTCATGGTCTTAACTTTTGTTCTTTCTTGATATTGCATTGGCAGGAAAACAATTTTAATGGGTGTCATTCCTTTGGTAACTTCTCAATAGCTAAACTTGATGAAGACATATTTCTGCCACGTTAAATAACCGAATTTATCTGGAATGAAATCGCTTCTCTTGTACTACATACTATTATTTATCAAAAGGCGCAATATGCGAGTTCCTATTGTGACGTATTAGTTACCAGTTTCCGACTGTCGCGGATTTCAAAAACTTTTGCCGTTAAAATTTGAAATTTTCAAACTTTATCCCTTTTTTTCTCCGCAAAAACAAACTCAATTTCAAATGTGATTACTATTTTCGTGATCTACGTTTCACGGCGATTCTAATGAGATAAATTCCAATTTTATGACATGGGCACTTTAATAGAGTGAATGAACGCAGTCAGATATAGTTTCAATGCAACAATGACTATTAAAACTTATTCACACATATCCATAATTTTCCAAACACGCAATGACTCTATCATGGAATGATTGGCACACAACAACTTGACTCCTTCTCTTTAGAACGATCTTTCGTCTGAGAAGAATTGGTTCAGATGAACCATTTTCTTGGACGCTAATGATGTTAATGGCATTGATTGACATTTTCTTATTTGAAAATATTAACTCATACTGCCATTGCTCTTTTGTCTGATTCAACCAGTAGCCCCAAACTTCGGCATTTGGTTCCAGACTTAGCAAATTGGATATTTTTCCAGGATAATAGAACAGCCAGTACGGTTTATCCGACTCGGTATAGACTGGTATTATGTAACCCTCATGGTTACAAGCACTTTCATAGTTTCCTTTCAGGGAATTCCAGCCATCTTCAGTGAAGTACTTTCGAAACCTGGTAGTGAGATGTTGAAATTCTTGTTCGGTAATTTGCAAATCCTTAACCTCCAAATCTTTTTCTTCTATTGAATACTTGCCAGAAACGACTTCAGGTATCAGTTCCTTCTCAATAATTTTAGAAAGCAAGTTCTGAATGTCTGATGGTACAGATGTACTAGCCAGTGGGTCATGGGTTAGTTTTGAATCGTTTATGTTTCGTTCTCGTGTGATGTGAAAGATAATTTCTTCCGCATTCATCATTACTTTCTTTATCTGATCACTTCCATAATTGAGCGGCTTCTTAAAAATAATTCCTTCAGGCAGTCCAGTAACTGTAAAACCACCTTTTTTGTAAGGAACTCTACTGCCAGGAATCCCACATGCTTCACCTAAAGTAAAATAAGAGACGGAAGGTTTTGTAAGTCTTTCCGATTATTGCAATCTGTTAACAAGTTGATGATGTACATGTATGTACCTGACAGATTTACCTGTATAATGTAACCGACAGGTTAAATTACATCATAAATTTACAAAAGGCTATTTTTACAATTAAAAATATTAATCTATCATTATATAAAGTTATTAAAAGTGTAAAAAGTTCAGAAACTACCAAAGTCAAATAGGCCTAGAACTTCAAATCGATTGTTTACAGTTTTCCTTAAAATAATTATTTTGTATAGTTTTTAGTTCTAGTTTATTTAATTCTTCCATAGTTTCTTTCTACTTCCAATTATGTAACTAATGTCTTGTTATTGTACCGCAATCATTCCATATAATGGATATTAATAATACCAATTCTACCAATGTACTTTCAACCATTGGATAGTTCATGTGATGTAAATTCAAAGTGTGTGAGTTATTTTGCAGTGAAAGAAATCATCACAATATAATGTACAATCATTGAAAAATTTCGCTGTAATGTTCAACAAAAGTGCTTGTAATTTACAGTATATAAAATAACTTTGCCGACAGTATTGCTGCTCAAATAACCCCCCTCCCCCAAATCAATGTTGAATTGTTATGTTGAAGCCTTAGCGCATCTTGCCTGCGATATACTCTAGCATTTTCATCCAGGCAACATTGATTTGGAAGTGTTGGTGAGGGAGGGTGTGGGAAGGGTGTGGTTGAGGGAGGGGGGGGGGGGCGACGGCTCGTCACAATATTTTTGTCAATGATTGTATTTACTACTCCATTATGACCAAACAAAAGTCCCTTAAACATATAAATTATAAATTAGCTATATTTTAGTTCATCAATACAAAATAAATAATTAAAAGCCATGGTAAGATATCAATCTACAAGCAGTACACACGTGTAGGCAATCCTCTCTCACACAAGCGATCATTATTTTGGAAATAAGTGTGGTTTATACAAAACACTTACTATATTTCTCGTTGAACAGATTCTGGACATCGGCACGGGTATGTTGTTTGTCTTCCGCCGGGCGATCTGTGGAATTAATGTTGACTACTTTACTACATGTACACTACAGCAACTATGACACCAACAATACAGTATCAACAAAAGTAGTACAAACAAAACACACTGGAAACTCCAGGTAATATAGTCAATCAATTTTCCAAATGCTCCATTGCATTGTATTTAAAATTGTAAGGTACAAACTTAATAAATTACCGTAAATTACCGTATATTACTGGGCTTCTACATGTCAACTTTTAATAAAGTAGGAATTTGAATGTTTCAACATTTTAATAAAATTGAAAATTGATTATTATGTATAAAATTGAATTTCTGAATTGGTAAAACGCCTATTTTGTTTGGAGTCACTATTGTATGATAGGCATAAGCTAAATTAATCTACAGTACATTTTAATACATTACCAAAGAATTCCATGAACTTTATTGCCACTGCTTCGTTTTGCATGAGAAACTGAACACCTTTGTTTGAACCATGCTGATTGATGTTCCCACTTGGTTCTATCATCACAACAGCCACCTCGCATCCCAGGTTTTCCAGATAAGAAATCTTTAAAAAAAAGTCTTCATAAATTGAATTGAAATTTACCACTTGGGTCTCCTCACCATCTTGAGAAGCAATGCAAGCAGTGAATTAATTGACCATATTCCTTATTCTTCATCTACTTTACATACCTCTTTCATGAGATTTTTTTTTGTCTTGGCAATGTGTTTTCGTCTTTCGTCTTCTCCCAGTTCTAGTGGACGTATTCTGTCAACCTGCTTGGCTTTGCTCTTCCAATCATTCTTTTCTTCAGCACTAAGAGCTTGCCATTGTGACGAAACAAATCTCATTTTCTCCGATTTTGAATCAATAGCCTTGCACAAGTCTATAACATAATGCAGTTAAACATATACATTAACTTCATTGTTATTTTAAACAGATGCAGGGGACACATACATAAATTAGAGGTATAAAACAGATTATACTTAGAATTGCAGCCTGACTCCTTGTATGGCAGATAAAACAGCCAGTTGACTGCTAAATTTTGGTAAGCAAAACTCAATAACAAATAAAATTATGTTCTGTGAGTATCATATTAAATAAAAGTGTTTGAACTTTGGCATATACTAGTCTTGTTATTCCAGGAAATTTGTCATATTTTTTATGTGATGGAGTGTATAATTTGTTTATACAAAAGCCAGTGGCATGGGTTCAAATTCTAGCCGAACATTAAAAGTTTGAGAATCGTTGAGGAAGGTACTCCAACTGATTGCAAAAAGCTGTAAATGTTTAAGCCTCCATGTCCCCTCCAGGGGTTAATGAAAAATTGCAGACAAAGTCACAGAAAACTATGAGTAGGAATATGCACATATGGTTCTTGTTCTGCTGAATAATAAATAACATTTATGACATTTATTCAAGAATCATTCTATATTTCAAGGTACCATATTTTCTCAATTTAGCCCCCAGGGGCCTATATTACATACCTTAACTACCTACTATATCTAAAGTGTGGGGCTATGTGTTACCAAAACCATTAGAGGAATTTGAAGAGTCCTTTCTGGAATTTGAAAGTCAGAAAGATATTTTTCATATCAGGCAACAGTGAAAGAATGCAATACAGAACAAATTGCAATATAACATGAATTTTTGTAATTGAGCCAAGGATAGTGATTTACAGAACAGCCAATTTTCAATCACTTTCCACAAACATTTGATGCAAAGTGTGAACATGCACAAGTCAAATTCAGAAACCTTTTGTAACTGAAGGCTCTAATAATTTGTACTAGTGATTCAATCAAGTGCAAGTGATTTTAAACTGCATTTCTTCATTGTAAACATCATAATAGCATGAATGATTTTAGTACTATACAACTGTCTTTGTAACTTCTGGTCTGGATAAGACACTCTTAGATTTCACTGGTAAATACTGGTAGATGTTGTACTGTAGGGCTTTAAGGCTTATATCTTTCTGATGGTTTCTGAGAGGGCAGGCCCAAAAAATAGGCACCAGTCACTGTTTATTGACAGATAAAATTTTGCAGGTTCACTGGCAGATTCACTCACTTACTGGACATACTTGTGATCAGAGTAAAAAAGCAAAAACAATTGATTAAAAAGCTATGTAGTAGAAACAATATTTTTCATATATAAGATGTATTAGACTAGCTGGGTACCTACAATAATGCAATTAATGACATTTAACAAAAAGCAACAAGCTGTTATTTTATAACAACAGTAATTTGAATTTTATAACAACAGTATTTTGTAATAACTTAAAAATGTTAACAGTTGATCAAAGCATTATCAAAGCATTCACGACTGGTAACTTTTATACATAGTTAATCAGACATAATGGAATAACGACCAACATTATTTTGAGGCCTGTGAGGGGAGGGTTGCTAGAGGGCAGAAACTGCTGGAGGAGCGTTAAATAAAGGATGGATAAGGGTATATGACATTTTTGCTGATGATAAGGAAGCATTTAATATTTACCTGAACTTAGCATGCTTGATGAAAATATGTTGTAGCCAGATGCTACTCTTTTAAGTGGAGGACCTATTCTTAGTACATTGTCATCTGAATCTTCATGCTTGTTTTCTTCTGTCCTACTTTCACCTAGCTTTCTCTTCCTTTTTTCATTTCCAATCCATTTCTACACAAAATTTCAGTATCAACTGTGAAATACAGTTTACAACTTTACACCTACCCAGGTGGTACTATATGTATAATACTCGGAAATTTAAAAACGCCAAAGATAAAGTATCTGACTCTTGGTTCACATAATACTGACAACAGTGACAGTCCTTATAAACTTTATAAAGCCTTTATTAGTTTATAAACTTTCAGTCGCCATTTTGAAAATGCAAATTATTTATTTAGACGTCAAAATCGCAAATGTCTAATAACAATTTTGGCTCATATACATACTTTGAACTTCATGTCAAGTTCCAATCAATACAAGGCATCCTATATTTATATATTTTAAGGTATTTTGGAAGTACATACCTTTACTTGGTCGTAGGTTGCCCCAGCTTGTTCAGCAGCTCTCAGTATTATTTCCTGCATATGTTTTGCCGTCGTGTTCATTCCATTGTCATAAAACGCCCTAAGAATGATCTTTTGATCATCCGTCAAATTGTTGTAGCTTCTAAAATTAGTGGCCATCAGCAATATTTAGAAATTTTGACGAGTCCAAGAGGTAAGCGCAATATACAGTGGGCAAGAATGCGCGTGAGAATGTATACACGCTCGTATATGCATGCTAATTGTGCGCTTACAAAATAACTCGTTCCCAGTACAGCAAACAGCGAACGCGTTAGATGGCTCAGATGATCATCCCATGTCACATATATCCGATGTTCTAAAACTTAGAATTCTCAATATATGTGATTTAGAACACGCGGAACGGGTGGAAACATAGATCCGGCCACGTTATTCAAAGCACTGATCGTGAGTGATTTGTTGCAACACCTTTTTATCTGCTAACAATACATAATGTCGACGTTTATGTCGTACGTTTCAGTGCATTTCTTTATTTTGCCGTTTGTCTTTCCTGATATATGCTCGGGCTTATTTCACTCGTGTGAACTAGAAAAACAGTTTTTGTAAGAAGGAAAAAAACTGCTGAAAAAAAGACCTTCCTCACGAGTTCTAACAGTGGCGTAGCCACTCATATTCTGTATAACTTTTGTATTACATCTTCTCAGTTGGATCATTTCTTTGGTGATACTTACAATCACAACAGGCATGGTAGTCAATGTAGTTGATGCAATAATACGAGCATAAAATTAATAATGGTTCAAAATAAATTTCCCAGTGAGCACACGACGTCGTTTCGACGTTGATTTATGGTTGAATTTTGGTCGCGACGTCGATCAACCCAATATCGACTTCGTTTCGACGTCGATTTCACAACGTCATATCGACGTCGCAAACTGACGTTGTTTCAACGTTGTTTCGACGTCAGGTAAAACTAGAGTTTGCTGCGTTTGCCGCATTTAATTTGTATATGAATTCACAACAATATTGGGAAAGTGTTGTGAACATCATATATGCAGTGTAATGATGTGTTTTTGTCAGGTCGTTAAAGCGTCGATATATCAACGTATTCTCGACGTCGTTTTTGCGACGTTTATTCAACGTTGTTTCGACGTTATATAAAAACTTTACAGGACCAGCTTGCAAAGACTCGCAATGGTAATAATATCATTCCTGATAGATAGTTAGGACGAATGTTGCGATTTTAGGAAGTGTTGAAAATTAATTTCTACGTAACAGACTATTTAAAACCATTATTGAATACCTCGGGCCTCCCCGGAGCAACATCGGTCATGCATCGTTGGTAGAGTGCGCGCAGTGCATTTCGGGAAGGTCGAATTGAGCGCGTCCATTTGAAAATTGAAACATGTTGTCGCGAACGGAATATGAAACATTGTAGCTGTATATTTCGGGATATTTTCACAGGATTTTCTCAGTTTAATCGTTGGATATCTTCGCATAAATCCAAGAAAGCAGTAAAGGTTAGTGAGAGTCAGTTTTACAGTGTGTATTGCCATGACAAAGGCATGAATCGCGAGATATGAATACGCGATCGTGACATCGTGATTATATTTTGAAATTTAAACGCTTAAAACATTGCCCAAACTCTTTGATTCTCTTTTAAAAATGGTTCAGCTAAACGAATAACGATACTTGCTCATTAGATTTTGTTAACTTATGTTTCTACGTTGTGTGATCGCGGGTTATTCATTCTAATATGACTTTGTATATACAGTATAAGATCGCCATATTTGACGCCAGAACTAATTGCATTTATAATCCAATTCAATCCGCTACTTAGTTTCGATAATTTAGACCCAATTTATGGTTCCGTATGTTAGTCGTGTGTTCTTTATGTGTTGAACGCAATTCGATTTAGCTATTTGCTTTGATTTTTTGAAAATTGCGTACTATTATAAGCCCTTTGCTAGATGAATAAACTGATTTTTATTATGCTGCTCCCTTTGCCGGTTGCCTTTCTCAACTGAAGTGTCAACGTGCTACATCATTAAGCTTAGTAAATAACTAGCAAATGGCCTAGCACAGACCTATAACAAATATATGGGGTAAGCGCACACATAGGGACCACATATGTAGTAAACAATATCATCTCAACTTTTAAGGTTGGCCAAATCGCAAATCGCAAATTGTCATCACAAGTAAATGCCCCTCCTGTTGCTGCGTGTATAAAGATGATGAAAAGATTGTTCAGAATGAAGGGAAAGATAACATACTCGAACATAATATCCAATTCCATAGTGGTCAATAGTGTCCAAAAACTTACTTTTTATTTTACAATACTGATCGAGACTCTTCTCGCACTATTTTGAGACGAGATTTTAAGAAAACATAATCTGAGATGAAGGAATGCCAGACAATTTTTCGAATCTGATTTCTTAATTTCAAATCAAGTATATTGTAGATTTAAACAAGATGATGTAAATTGAATAAATTTGTTTAAACTATAGAGTCAGTGCAAGTATGTCTATGTTTTTTATATGCATTTCAAAATCTAGCTAAAATCCTATGCACGGACGTTGTTTTAAAGGCAATAATCTAACGTCGATTCGATTTGTGTTTTCAAATCATTTTCGATGTCGTTTCGACGTTGAAATTTCATTAATTGCAGACGTCGATTCGACGTCAATTACCCGACGTCGTTTCGACGTCGAATAATCGACGTCGATTCGATTTGCGTTTTCGAACCTTTTTCGACGTCGTTTCGACGTCGCTGGGTGACGTCGATTCAACGTTGAATCGACGTCGTTGTGCTCACTGGGTTATTTTAAACTGTGAGAGACTCAAATGGTCAAAAAATCACCCGAGTATCCATGTATCCAAGGGTCTGTGTACATCCATATAAATAGGAAAAAGACCTTTCAGATTATATGCAAATTATCCCGTTTCAAATCACATGGTCTAAAATGGTTAAGTTTTATTGGCTATTCCATGCATGGAGTTAATTTGCATGCGCAAGCTGAAATGGTCTATACATGCGAGAAATTTCAAAACAAACATCGTAGACAAGTGTTTATCAAGTGAGGTGCAGTTCCACCGTTTTTTTAACCTTTTCGTCACACCACCTGACTGGTCCGGAATTCGGATAAAACAATGAGATTTTTATCTTCAATTTCAAGTCTCATTCACATTCAACAGCGGCTATTTACGCGCGGTTCCATCATGCCAAAGATACGTAGTTTCTCTAAGAGGTCTACGCTATCAAACAACGCCAAAACACTGCCGTTCTCTGCGATACCTGGCCCTAAAGGAACCTTTTCAAATATCCTGGGTTATACGTTTAGCAAGGGAACGCATTTTGATAAAGTAAAGAAACGTTTTGAAAAGTTCGGCCCAATTTATCGCGAGAAAGTTTTGGATATGGACATTGTGAACATTAACGATGTAGATTCCTTGGCTAAAGTTTTAAAGACCGAAGAAAATTTCCAAATGAGGTCTGGTTTAGACCCAGTTATGGAGGTTTTTGGCAGAAATGTTTCTGGGGTTATATCATGTGATTATAACGAGTGGTATCCAGATCGATCATTGCTATCGCCGATGTTTTTACGACCCAAAGAAATCAATGAAAGAATATCCATGATCAATGCGGTGGCCAACGACTGTGTTGAGAGATTACACCAACTTAGAGATCAAGATGGAACAATAAACAACATTGAAAGGGAACTGTCTTATTGGAGCGTTGGGTCAAACTATTCATTTCTTTTTAATCGACGTCTTGGCTTCTATGAGAAACCACCAGATGCAGATGCTCTCGTGTTTTTGGACGCGGCTAGCCAATTGATGCAAAACATTGGACGTATCCTTGATATGGGTCCATTTTACAAGTATATACCAACACCAGCATATTATGCAGCAAAGAGAAATATAAATACAATGTATGAGTCTAACATCAAATTGTCCAAAAAAAGAGAGGCGAAGAGTGAGGAAGACGCGAGTGAGAAAACATCTGTTGCTGATCATGTGTTTGAAAAACGGAAATCGACAGAAGAAACTCTCGCCTTGCTTGCTGGTTTAATGGCGGCTGGAGTTGATACCATCAGCTGGACATCTTTGTGGCTCCTTTACTTACTCTCTCGCAATCCAGACAAACAAGAGAAACTTTATCAGGAACTAAAACTTTTTGATTCTGAAGAAGAAATACCCGTTAATAAGACCCCCTCGTACATCAAAGCAGCTTTGAAAGAGTCGCAACGCCTGCACCCAGTCGCTCCATTTTTATCTCGCGTACTCAACCAAGATATCGAGCTTCATGGTTATCACATACCCGCAGGTGTAAGCATCATGTTCCAGAACCATTTAATGTCGATTGATGAGCGCAATTTTGGCGAAGATGCAAAACAGTTTGTGCCAGAACGATGGCTTCGTGATGTATCAACTGGAAGGGTGAAAGGTTTTGATCCCCTCAGTTCATTGCCATTCGGTCATGGAGTGAGAATGTGTTTAGGACGGCGAGTAGCAGAGGCATATATCTACACGTTAATGAGCAAGATTTTCATGAAATATAGAGTAGAGTTGTCTAGTAAACAGAATGAGGTGAATCCGACCTTGAAGGGAGCCTTTAATAGACCGGACAGAGAAATTTTATTCAGATTTCTATTGAGGTAAAATATTTAAAACGCAGTAATAATTTTTGTTTAGCAATGATGACCATTTATGTTCATCAGATTTAGAGGCCAATATTTAATCATAAGACTTTTATAACGTATATTTGCATGTAGAATTGCCCGATCTCGTAAAATCGCTGACCGTGAGTTAAAAAATTAATGATATTCACATATTATGCCCACTTTTGCAACCTTATAATTATGTATATCGTAGTCTAGCATAGTTTTTTTTTAACCTTGGGCTTGGCGCCCTCAACAAAATCTTTAAGAAATTTAGTATACAAGTGGGGCAATTGCCATTCATTTTTTAGATTTCAATATTTGTACAGGATAACCACATCACTTATCACTTATAAAAACTGCTATGTATGTAAGCTATGTACACGGAAGCTTTGTATGTTCCAATTTAACCCTTTCCTGACATAACATATCCTCTTGTTAGTTTAGCTCAGAGACTCAAGCTATATTAATTCATTTTAACATACGGATTGTATCTAATTTCCGGCGGCTTCGCTACACTTGTGTCGTTTATTTATCTGCATTGCAATCTAAAGTTGATGTTTGGCTATTTCGATGGCGTTTATAATTCTACAGTTTATAGTTTATACTTGCTTCATCGTGGTGTAGCTCGTTTCGATACTCTTTGAATTATGAAATGTAAATCTTATTTCAATTGTTTAAAGTATATAATACCTGCTGCACGCATACATATCGATAGGAAAATATTTTCCTGGGCCTGGGGTGTCGAAAACAATTTTGCGACCGAGGGGAAATATTTTTCTATCGGGAACGACCAATACGGTAAAAAAAGCATTATATTATGCGGCGTTCGGTCGCATTATAATTGTGTAGTCAAACTCAGCCGAATGGTGACAGAAACATAATTCCATAAACAATCAAAACCTCGCGCGTTCGTTCAATTTACCAAACTCGCTTCAATTTATCGTGATAATCTTTTGGTCCAGTCATTTTGAAATAAAAAAGTCAAAATTTTGCGAATAAATCTTTAGAAAAGCAAAATAAATTCGCTTTCGTGATTTCGGAACGTATTTCACCTGCCGCTGATTTGTAAAATAATAAACCACTTGAACACTTATATACAGTATCCACTTGAACTTTAGAATTCGTGCTTAAAATTAAGAACGTTTGTCTTTTTTATACAGTGTGGTTAGTAGCTAGTTAGTTGTAGTTTACTCCAATATTTGTAAGTTGTAGGTATAAGTTTATAGAATATAGTAAATAAATATTTTTTCTATAGCCTTCCTCCGTCTAGAGTTACACAAAAAGTTTTCACTTATTATAAACAATTCATGTTGTCCTTTTGTTGATAGTCGTGCATGCTTGACCGTCTTTCATGTTCAGAATTGTACAATGCATATGTGGATACACAACGGTCGACGAAAATTTTAAACATTTGTTCCGCCTTCCAGGTCTAGGTGGGATAATTTTGATGTGGATATTGAATGTAACGCAGAACGTATATCCGAAGTGACATCCTGCGTTGTTAGGTAATGATGTCAGTTCATCAGATTCAGTGAATCGGCCAATATTTATAATCATAACACTTTTATAATTAATGAATTTATATTTAAAAAATCAGAGATTTTCAGAAATTATGCCCACCTCTGCTTACCTACACATATAACGTAGTTTTTAGTGCAAAATCGGCTTCGTCGAAAAAAAACTTTGCAGCATTGTGATGAGTGGCGAAAATTCAAACGTCAGTAAGAGTCAACAGGCTTGGTGGAAAACACGGACCACGGACTACGGACTACGGACCACGGACTACGGACCACAGACTGCGGACTGCGGACTACGGACCACGGAACACGGACCGCGGACTACGGACCGGGAATCAAAATACACCTTTCAGATTATTCCTCACTGAAGAAACGTAATGGCGAGTGTTCGTTTAATTTTTTTGGATCAAATAATTTGCCATGGATTTTTTTTGGATCAAATTAATGCGAGGGAGAGAGTTATATTTACAATTTCGTGGTATTGGTAACACTCCAAGTGCCTAAGAGATAATCACAGAAATGAGAAACTGTTGTAAGTGGCATTACATACACACCCACACACTAATGTGAACATATTGAAATATACTGATTTTAGTGATTTATAAACCTCGTGATGAAATAAAAATCTCAAATGTAAAACGTTTTAATTCCTGCGTCTCAAACACATCATGGAAAATATGAGCAATAGTTTCAGATACCAGTAAACTCGCATTTGGGTTGCAGAGAGTGGATATATAGTTATTGCTCTGTGTTGTAGCTTGACTAATCAGTTTATCACAACAATAATAAATATTTAAATAATTCATTTCAGGAAACAACACAAACAAAACAAACTGATTTGATATAGTTTAACCACCCTCTTTATTCATTTCAAAATTATACAGCTGTAAATATAGGTGATATAAAATTATAATGTGACTTTATTGTTAAAATATCATATCATGTTATATCATATATATTATATCAATGGAAATAGTAGTTTTGCAATATTGTGTTGTTTCCACTGTTATTCAAAGAAAGCCTGCAATAAAAAGTAATGGATATGTCAATGGTCATGCGATGGCAAACTCCTCCCTGAGAGACCTATCAGGACAAGTCTGGAGTTAATTAACATTAAGGGTCACTGTAGACAAATGATGGCATGTGGGATGCAGCATGCTTCTTGTAGACAAACTGGGACCTGCATGTATGTGCAAAATATTTGTGCAACATGTGCTTAACCAGATTAAATAAAACCAAATATAATCACCAAAGGAATATAAAATTGAGAGCCAATTGTTTACATTCACAGCTTACAGCATAGCACTTTTATATTCAATAAGCAGATACCAACACTGGCTATTCAATTGTGTATATTGTGAATTTTCGCCACTCATCACAATGCTGCAAAATTTTTTCGACGAAACTGACGTTGCACTAAAAAGTACGTTATATGTGTAGGTAAGCAGAGGTGGGCATAATTTCTGAAAATCTCTGATTTTTTAAATATAAATTCATTAATTATAAAAGTGTTATGATTATAAATATTGGCCGATTCACTGAATCTGATGAACTGTCATCATTACCTAACAACGCCGGATGTCACTTCGGATATACGTTCTGCGTTACATTCAATAGCCACATCAAAATTATCCCACCTAGACCTGGAAGGCGGAACAAATAATTCTTTTATATCTCAATATAGTTCCTCCATGCGATCTATTTTTAAATATTTTACCTCGTAAAATAACCTCGAGTTAGTTTGTTAAGTTTAGTATATTTCAGACACCTTTGTTACAACCGAAGTCTTTTGATCAACCATGATTATTTTTAAGTGTTTAAAATTTTCGTCGACCGTTGTGTATCCACACATGCCTTGTACACTTCTGAACATGAAAGACGGTCAAGCATGCACGACTATCAACAAAAGGACAGCATGAATTGTTTGTAATAAGTGAAAACTTATTGTTAACTCATGACGGTGGAAGGCTATTGAAAAAATATTTATTTACTATATTCTATAAACTTATACCTACAACTTACAAGTACTGGAGTAAACTATAACTAACTAGCAACTAACCACACTGTATAAAAAAGACAAACGTTCTTAATTTTAAGCACGAATTCTAAAGTTCAAGTGGATATTGTATATAAGTGTTCAAGTGGTTTATTATTTTACAAATCAGCGGCAGGTGAAATACGTTCCGAAATCACGAAAGCGAATTTATTTTGCTTTTCTAAAGATTTATTCGCAAACTTTTGACTTTTTTATTTCAAAATGACTGGACCAAAAGATTATCACGATAAATTGAAGCGAGTTTGGTAAATTGAACGAACGCGCGAGGTTTTGATTGTTTATGGAATTATGTTTCTGTCACCATTCGGCTGAGTTTGACTACACAATTATAATGCGACCGAACGCCGCATAATATAATGCTTTATTGCGGTGCCCGCGCCAAGTTTGGCACCGCATTATATTCTGCCTGTGAGTTTGTTTGTTCGCATCAATACGTTTCCTTAATCGCTTAGTAAAAATTCCTTGCACATGCTTGGAATGCTTGGAATTTTTTCCTAATTATTACTATCAATCTTGTTGTACGTTTGCCAAATTCCTTCTTTTAAGGAACGTTCTTTTTTCAATTTCAATCTCAAACTCTGATAATTGCGTGTATCTCTGCTTTTATGCACCCAAGAAGGACAAAAATACCAACATTCGATTCAGCGTAAGAAATTATACTTACAGGTATTAAATATATTACTAAACAAGAGTATTCGCAGCGATTTATGACGTTTGAAAGACAAACGAAATTGAATTGTTGACAAATCGCTCAAAATTACTATGCTATACTTTACTAGTAATAGTAAGTTTGGTCTTTGATATCTTTCATATCGTTGGTTTTCTCTTTTAATTTTCGTCCTTAAATAAGTGGATCGGTCTTAAATTACGATTTATTTTATGGTACTTTGAGCCAAATATGAGGGTACCTAAATATCGAGGCAGGATTCAAGTCAGGACTCAAGTCAGGACTCGAGCCAGGACTCGAGTCAGGACTCGAGCCAAGGACTCGAGCCGACAAGCTCCGATTTAATGACTCATCTACGTCTTGCTGATGGAAACTTCTATTGCCGTCTTTCCCGCGTGCCTGTTGGCGTAAGCGGGTTCTTCCCAGTTTAATGGTTCTTCCCGTGTGCGGACAAATTTTAAGCGCTTTTGTTCATTCGTTCCAGAATAAAGTGCCACGAATGAACAAAAGCGCTTAAAATTTGTCCGCACAAGAGAAAAATTTGCTTACGCCAACAGCCACGAGTGATTATTAGCTCGGCTAGTTGCTCTCGTGTGCGGCAGGTTTTAAGTAGACTAGAATTTTTCCGAATTCGTTAAATGTGATTATTTATGATACCATTTTTTGAGTCCACAATTTTTAAATCGCTAAATGAATTCAAAAACAGAACTTTGCAAAACTTCTAGTTAGTCAGCAACATTGTATTGGTCGCATAGCGTTAGAAAGGCTAATTCTTTTACCATTACGGTGCATGCACCATTAAATCGTAAAGATTTGAAAGTTAAAACAATGGATAATAGAAGCACAATGTGTTTTTATTCTCCATGTTATGGTCAGAAATGAAAATTAACGATTTGCATCCGATATTTTGGACAGCAATTACCTGTTGGTTACGAGTTATGTTACCCCTAATTTTTATTTCATAAAATGATTTATTATAAAATCAACTATATGTCATCCAAATATGGCGGATTGGTCGCATTGCGTGAGAAACGTTAATTGACTCGAGTCCTTGACTCGAGTCCTTGACTCGAGTCCTTGACTCGAGTCCTTGACTCGAGTCCTTGACTCGAGTCCTGGCTCGAGTCCTGGCTCGAGTCCTGGCTTGAATCCTGACTCAAGCAATAGTATATCTCGCCAAATATATTCTATTCCAAAGGTTTTAAAGTATAGTTTCAATAAGCGAACTTTATGACAAATCGCTCAAAATTATTAAACAAATTAAAAACGCAGTACGCTTAATCCTTGACTTCTGTATCGTTGCTTTTCTAGTTTCCGGCTCTACACCAGTTTATTCGTCTCACGTTTTTCTTCATTTTGATAGTATTTTTAGATAGTATTTTTAGCCTAAATATTTTATTTCTGAAGATTTTAAAACGGCGCAATTTTGACCTTAATGTACCAACCAACCAGGCTGCGGCCGACAGGAGAATGTAAGTTGGTGATGTCGTTAGAAATGAGCGGACGTTTTATTTCTAGGCAAGCATTGCGGGCACCGCATTTTAGTACTGTGTCTGGTTTACCCTATTGGTCGTTCCCGATAGAAAAATATTTCCCCTCGGTCGCAAAATTGTTTTCGGCACCCCAGGCCAGGAAAATATTTTCCTATCGAGACCTGGTAAATAACATATACATACGCTTCCAAACGAAAATTAGGGATCCAAGGATAGTGCAAAGTTTTCATGCTCTGTATATATTCCTGTAATACCTAAGCAACCAGACGTTTTCCCAACATAAACATATTGACTTAGCCAGTAAAAATATAATGAACTAGGTTAAACATTAATCAAAAGGAAATTACTCAAAGAACTCAAGTTACGCTAGTCGCGGATACTGTCACTTTTAAATTATAATTTTAGTTGCCCATGTAAACCGGGCGCGATTTAGTCTCTTTTCTTCGTCAAACAACTGTGACCACATTCACTGCATTTATTTGATGGCAACAATTTATCCGTCATTTTATAAGTATAGCCGAAATAGTTGCGTAGTAAATAATGTAAATAAATCGCGGTGCATATTTATGTCTATGATGTGGATACTTCGACGCATAAATCGATGCAAAACAATATACTTATAATCAATACTGTATACCGCCGAAATGATTTGATTACTGCACAAAATGTCCGTTTTGTATAGTGTTATTTATGAACTGTATGCAGAATACCAGGTATCGACTTGCTATCGACATAATATATATTCGTGTAAGCTATCTATTAATACATAAACAACACAGCGTCGATTCTTCCTAACATCTTCGCTCTATTTACGGAATAAACCTTCCAAATTATATTTGTGTTGAATTGAATGCTCGTAATTCATAACATAAGATGATAAATTGTGTAGATTCTCAAAGATGTGCTCGATTTTTACGCCGGTAATGTTTTGAAGCAATGCTCATCGCTCCTCGTTTTTAGTGCAAAGTTTGAAAAACTTTGCAGTATTGTGATGAGCGGCGAAAATTCAAACGAGTCAGTAAGTCAGTCAGACAGTCATAGTGTAAACTTTACGGGGGGTAGGCTGATTTATGCGTATAGTAACTTTTTGTATATGATCAGTAATTTAAAGTTTTTAAATCAGTTTAACACCTTCGTCCATCTTACTTACCCGATTGGATGGTTAGGTGTTAGCTCGTCGCTCGCGGGAGGGGTGGCTTGGAACGAGTGCTGTTACTTGAAGCCAGGTTGAGATCCCTACGGTATCTTAAGCTGAGCACGCACCCCCTCCCCCCGCCGAGAGCTAACCCTTCACACCAACTTTGTTGGTGGAAAAGACAGGCAAATGAAGGGAGTAAACCAAAGAAGAAAGAAAGAAATTTACTAATAGCACTTTACCACAAGCTGCTGTTGTCGACGTTATCGCTCGTTCGCCGACGGGTTGTTAATGCCCTCTGCGGGCTCTGCTCCGCACCTTGCCTCCACTCGCCCCTCCCATTCGGTCACGTGGTTACCTGACGTCACTGACCGGTTTCCTCGTTGTTAACCTTGGTTATTGCATAACCCCATTTAACTTGCTTTATTTATTAATGCTCTACATCCCTTTTTCACCAAAATATTAAGGAATTTTGACCGTTACTGTAAATTTTGAGGCATAGCTTTTCCGCGGTTTTAGTTTTGTTTCAAAGGGATTTGCGCAGGATTGCCCCCCAAAACACCCGATTTTTTCTTATACGTCGCAACTGCGCATGTGCCTTAGAGCTTGAACATTTATATTCACGATATAAAGAAACGAGGAGCGACGAGCATTGCTTCAAAACATTCCGGGCATAAAAATCGAGCAATTCTTTTAGAATCTACGCAATTTATCATCTTATGTTATGAATTACGAGCATTCAATTCAACACAAATATAATGTGGAAGGTTTATTCCGTAAATAGAGCTAAGAGGTTAGGAAGAATCGACGCTGTGTTGTTTATGTATTAATAGATCTCTTACACGAATATATATTATGTCGATAGCAAGTCGATACCTGGTATTCTGCATACAGTACATAAATAACACTATACAAAACGGACATTTTGTGCAGTAATCAAATGATTTCGGCGGTATACAGTATTAATTATAAGTATATTGTTTTGCATCGATTTATGCGTCGAAGTATCCACATCATAGACATAAATATGCACCGCGATTTATTTACAGTATTTACTACGCAACAATTTCGGCTATACTTATAAAATGACGGATAAATTGTTGCCATCATATATATGCAGTGAATGTAGTCACAGTTGTTTGACGAAGAAAAGAGACTAAATTGGGAAAATCGCGCCCGGTTTACATGGGCAACTAAAATTATAATATAAAAGTGACAGTATCCGCGACTAACGTAACTTGAGTACTTTGAGTAATTTCCTTTTGATTAATGTTTAACCTAGTTCATTATGTTTTTACTGGCATAAGTCAAAATGTTTATGTCGGGAAAACGTCTGGTTGCTTAGGTATTACAGGGCATGAAAACTTTGCACTATCCTTGGATCCCTAGTTTTATATCGTGAATATAAATGCTCAAGGCTCTACAGCACATGCGCAGTTGCGACGTATAAGAAAAATCGGGTGTTCCGGGGGGCAATTCTGCGCAAATCCCTTTGAAATAACACCCAAAACGCGGAAAAGCAATGCCTCAAAATTTACAGTAACGGTCAAAATTCCTTAATATTTTGGTGAACTTAGCAAAAGGGATGTAGAGAATTAATAAATAAAGCAAGTTAAACTGATTTAAAAACTTTAAATTACTGATCATATACAAAAAGTTACTATACGCATAAATCAATCTACCCCCCGTAAAGTTTACACTATGACTGACTGACTGACTGACTTACTCGTTTGAATTTTCGCCACTCATCACAATACTGCAAAGTTTCTCAAACTTTCCACTAAAAACCGAGTGCCTTCTTTCTCTTTAGGCTGTGTCTTTCCTGAAGTTGGATCAATGGATATTTGTCATGGCGACATGTCGATGACGCAAGTTTTACCCAGGCCTACTCTCCTGACGAAGGCCCTCAGGTCGAAACGTCGAGAAGTGTTTTGTCTAATTTAGGCAGTTGTTATACCACCACATTTGATACTCTAAAGTAAGGTAGTTATATATTGCCGCAATAGGAAATGCTTAATGGTATTACAAGTGCGTGACCTCGATGCCCTTGAACAAAATCAAAAAACCAATCCATCCTAGATAGGCCACAACTATCACAGCACCTAAAAAGACGTTTTTATTTCTCGTGTTAATCATATATACAGAATGATTCATTAATTTCTAACGCGCAATATTTAAATAGCAGATCAAAGGCAAAAAATTCAATCATTCAGAAAAGAGCCTATGTTAAAATTTAGAAGCTTGCCAGCATATTTTCAATTTTTGTTCTTCCTAAAAAGATTTTTGAGACTCCAAGTTCTTGTTCGTTTTTTAAATGAAATAAGGTATTCAGGATAACACTGGTGGTCCTGAAATATGACGAAAATTGTCGGATCTGTCGTGTCATTCACAAGTGAGTCAAAATTCAAGCCAGGGTTGTGGGGATCGTTCCTCGAGGGTGGTGCGTTCATATCTTTCTTTCCGAGGCTGTATTTTCCAACCAAAACTTTGACGATATACATTTGAGCATCCTGACTATCAGAACTGTCGCAAAATCGCAACGAGTATGCAGAATCTCTTGCAAAGTACACGCCGTTACCATACGTGTGACCTAAAATGAAGAATTACTTTGGAGAATGAAATTCAAGATAATTTGTCAATGAATCTGGATTTCAAAGTATTTAAAACACCCTGATTGCCTGCATGGCGTAAGTAATTTTCACACCACCCATAATCTGATACTTTCCTATCAAAATTATATGTGAAATTTCAGTTTCCATATGAAGACCTTTTTATTTTTATTTTCAAAAAATCATGACGAGGGCGGCAATGACATATTACATAATTCTTGGAACTTACCATTTATCCCTGAATAACTTCTACTGAAATTATTAACATTTATAGCCTCGACATTTTTCACATCTGTGCCATGAAATAACCTCTTCTCGTTTTCTCCTCCCATCATTGATTGTTTTTTCACCATGTAAGCTCTATAAAGAGCAGGATTTTGAATTCTTTCAATTTTTGTCACCGAATACCCGCCTTCAATACTATCATTGAACAACTGAAATATTTCTTGGTATTCGTTTGATGATGGTAGTACGTCTACAAGTTGAGCCACCTTCCCCTTGGCTTGTTCATCCCACGTCAATGGCAGATCAACTTGATGAAAAAAGAATAGATGAAAAGGATTTTTAAAAATACAAATTATGATACAGGTTTTAAGCTTAAGAAAATCGTTTTTTTAATACAGCGAGAATGGAACAACACCATTTCTTGAAATTTGATACAAAAGTTATCATGATTTATTTTCTCCGCTACATGAAAAAGACACATTCTAATCGGGAAATACAGTTTTCAAAAAAATTTTCATAATTTGTGTACATGATATTTACTCACTTGTGGAAATGCCGGCAGATCGATCCTGTTCATTTCTTTCTTTTGATGCAATGAACTTCTTTGCAGCGAATTTTGCTGTCGTAACACTCTCATTTGCCCCGATTATGTCTATGACCTGACTGGAATCATCTAATGTGACGAAATATATCTTTATGATCTGGTCATTCTCCTGATTTGACCTGAACGTCTGAAAGTCTTCACTGTCAATATCAATGCCAGCATCCTGTGGTATTAGTACGCGCTCAATGATGATCGATTCCGCGAGAGCTTTCTGAGCTCTAAGCCAATGCACGTCGTCCTTAGCTGTTATAAATACCGACTTTCCTGATCCATGAAGTTCAACCTAGATTTTATAAGTGTAACGAAATTGTGTAAACAGAGAGTGGGTTGCCGTTATTTAATATTCTTGAGAAAACTCGGTGGTTAGCGTGCATGGAATTAAGAAAAATACTGAATTAAGTCGATGGTTTAAATCAATCAAATAAAATATATTATAAAAGAAAGGTTCATCTAGATTGTTGACATGATCAAGCAGAAATATGATTAAACGCAGATAAATACATGACACTGGAGGCGGGGAAAACATCAAGTAAACTCATCAGAAAAAGTTTTCGCAAATAGCTAAATTAGGCATTATCTTAATGTTGAAAAATGACCTTACTTTATTTCATAAAAATTAAAAATATTTCATTATGCCAAGCCAACCAAATCCTACTGCTTCCTAAATTTTAAACCAATTCGATAATGTAGCTAAGTATAACCTCCATCTCCGGAGAATTAGAGTTGCTTTTGTTGCAACGCTGCCGGTTTGGCCTTAATAATTGCATGTTGACTTTATCGTTAAAATTCTCATATTGATGTCTGATGGGCATCCAGAAAAATATCAAAAGAAATACGGCCGGTAAATTATTCACGACGAACCTTTGCAGTTATTTCCCGCGATGTCATTATTTCCTCCACGTATTTTTCGTTATTTGCCACAAATTCCCACATTCGATCATCTTCTAATGGTTGTTCCTTCCTTGCTATTAAAACAAAAATGTGTCTCGGTGTTTGCGACTTGATTTCCAGAACAAAACAAGAAATTAATGTGAATGTGAAATGTGCAGTACGTAGTGGCCCCTCTCATGCAGACGACCGTGATCATGAGCACTCAGACCCAGTACGTTGAATATCATCATAAACTAACTTATATTGGTAATGTTAAACTGAAGGCCGCCCTGTACGTTACACGGTGCAATTTTTCTTGCAACTTGCAATGCGATTCTACTTTAAAGAGATGGAAATTAGTGAAGCGTCTTCAAAATGTAAGTGTAAGAAACGCCAATGGCGTGTAATAATCACAAAAGTTCCGTAGTTGCCAAATTTACATCTTTCAAAAGTAGAATTGCATTGCGAGTTGCAAGAAAAATTGCACCGTGTAACAGGGCCTTGAGGTACCTGGGCGAGCACCCATCTAAACTTCGTTTCGCTGCCGGGGTTGCAACGAATACACCGCTGTGGCTACATGATTAAGTTGCAGCAGTTGTCATATGTTGCTTCAAGTTGATAGCAACAATCTTCTTGGGGGGAAGCACAATAGTTTTTTTTAACCGCGAGCAACCTCGCCTTTTTAGCTGTCTTCATGTTTTCCGATTAGTTGCAGAGTTTCACCGAGAAACCGATGCAGTGGAATAAACTGTTCATTTGAATTATGTTCTTCGCATTCTGCGTGCATGCAACCGAACTAATTTAGGCCTACATATCGTTAGCATGAGAAGTTTCTATGGCACTGTCTACCTCCTTCGCAGACGGAGGAGGAAGTGGCACAGTTTATATGTCAAACACGCCAAGTCAATAAAAAATATTCTACTTATAAGTGTTGATAGCTACGAATGCTTTCTTATAGCAACTATGTATAAAATGAAAAAAAAGTCAACTTACTTGAAAAATCATTGTTATTAACATGCCATAGATCATTTCTTTGTTTTGATGCAAGAAACTGTTTGGTTAAAATTGTTGCTTTCCTTACGTCCTCTTTTGCGCCAATAAGTTTCAAAATACCCATCCACGATCGTTTATGATCTAACACTACAATCCTATTATTCTCCAGCTCTGATCGAAAGTCTTCAAAGTCTTCACCATCAAAATCAATATCCGCATTTTTCGGTATTTTGACTTCTTTCACAACAATAGATTCCGTTAGAGCTTTTTCCGCTCTCTTCCAGTGCACACCATCTGTGGCCATTATATTGACGGACTTTCCTGATTCATCAGGATCTACCTGGTGCAAATAGTCAATACGTAATCAGTTACAAAATTGGTAAGAAAGTTTCCTTGCATGGGTTCTAGATCAAGTTTCAAGAGCAACGTTGATAAAATGTCATGATGTGAAATTATATCTAACATTTCTCACGTGGTCAAAAATGCAAAGGTTCCACGGCAAGGCTAAAATTGGTACGCGTGCTAATTCCATCCGTACACGGCCTTTGAGTTGCTAACCTGGACACTAATAAAATTGGATACGGGTAGCATTTTAGCCGTGCCGTGCCAAAAATTGACTTTAGTCTAAAAGGGGCTCAAATCTATATATTTTCATGTCTTGTGTACAACCTTAATTGCTTTTCGACAAGACGCAGCAAGCGCTCCTTCAAATTGGGTTCCACAGAACGGTTTCCAAATATAAACTCAATGTTTTCAACGTCGTATTAAATTCATACTATTCATAGAGGTTTAAAGGGTCTTAATTTCGAGTGGAATTATACACACTTCAAATTTAAGCCAGGAACAGTTGATGGAAAAATCAACTATAGGTAGTATAGGTATATAGTCGACTCATTTTTCCATCAACTGTTCCTGGCTTGAATTTGAAGTGTGTATAATTCCACACGAAATTAAGACCCTTTAAAACCTCTAGAATTTACTTGCATCGAGTGAAGTGCCAAAAATCATAATCGATTTATGCATACTCCTTCAAGAGTGTTTTAGCCGCGTCATTGTGGTGTTTTCGTTCTACATGCTTAAGGCTCTAATTATATTAATAGCGGTCAGTAAATGCAAACCTTTGCCATTATCTTCGACTTGTTCATAATGCCTCTTACAAATTCTTCATTCTTTACTACAATATTCCACTTTCTTTCATCATTAAGCACGTGTTCATTCTGCCGTAATGTCCTTTCCACACCCTTACACTTGTTGCAGGCAGAAAAAAATTTATCACCATGACCTTTCAGACGTACTTTTCTATCTTGCATATCTTTGATAACTTTCACCTCGGAAAAACAAGACTTTTTAAAGAATCCGACATAGTCAAAAAACTCCAAATGGCTACAGAAATCAGCCGACAGGTCCTGCGTTCGCTCCTTTCCTCTAAAAATGTCAGCTACAGCAATAACGACCCTGAACAATTTAGAGCGCACTGTTTGGACTTCAGCCACACGTACACGCTGCTCCATGATTAGATAGCTACGCAGAAAATTCCTAGACAGCCCAAGCAATGTATCTGCAATTCTCGAGCATGGAATCTATAGAGCTATAAAGAATACATAGAACCGCTTAATATGTATCTAGCTTCAAGCAAATTGTTTATATACTGTTATAGCTCTTCCGTGCCTAGTTCAGATTTGGCTTTCACATACATGTAACCACGTCTATTTTTGTGGGTAAATTAAACATATTATAAAAAAATCTAAGGGATGCATAAAATACACTAGTTTCCTTAGCCAATGGATAAGCTTCGTGATTTTAAATTGCTGAAATATAGCATGTTTCTTAATTACCTAAAAACATAAACTTAATGCAAGCTCACATTTATTTACAACTATATATTGAACTAAAATTATTCAATATTCACTTTTTGTAAACTTACGTTCTGATTGGTCAATTTGTACCACGTAAGTGAATTTTATAGCAAAACGTACGCCACAGCCTAAAATTTATTGCATTGTAAAAATGGCGGCAATTAATACGGAAGCAAAAAAATTGGCGAGCTTAGCGACGAAGAAATTGAGAAAATTATTGAGAAAATTATAGATGAATCCACACCTAAAATACGAAACAAGCAACTGCACGGGTGTCTCTATATTTACAGTTAAGCAAGTGTTATTTATTTTTTATTTAATATTTATAAGTCTTTGTGTGTACTCAAAATGAATATTAAAAGCATTAAAGTGCTCTTTGTTCGTGCGTTATTGGGTTTCACATGCATGATGGCTAGTTCATAAACAAGGAACTCGAAGTTCAATACTACACTTCTTGTTCTTTGTTTCTGAAATGCGTGCATATGTGCACGTAAAACCCGAATAACGCTCTCACAGTGCTTTAGCCCTAAATATTCTTGATAATCTTGTTCAATGATATTTTAGGATATAATTTAATTATATATAATTATATATATAGTGATTCAAAACGTAAACAAAGCGTCGAACTGTGCCGGACCTCATCTGCCACAGACATTGCCAGACTACCGCTGATTTGTTTGTTCTGCACTTGGTTTTGAATGCACAAGGTGAAAAATCAAAAGATAATGACCGGCCTTATGACGGGGCAATTATATCGATCGAGTAATTTGAATTAGAAAGAGATTGCAGTGTAGCTAATTTTACTATCTGAAATGTAATATGATAAGATACAGACTGATAAATTCAAATCTAGGCAGCGTGTGACCTCGATCGACTTCAATAATATCGTTACATTATCTATACTTTTAGAAACTCGTCTGTTAAACTCTTAAAAGTGTAATTTTACTCGCAGGTTTAACACTGGTACAATCGGATTGAAAAATCGGGTTCATAAAAGTTCTGTCTCAAGCGAATGAACTCGGCTTCGCTTGTCTTCGCTTCTTACTCGCCCATAGTCTAACAAACATAAAGCAGTCAGACAGCCGAGTGCATGAGCTTAGCGTCGACATCTCGATGATGTCGCTCAGTCTTAATTTCGCCTGTACAGTAAATGTCCCACCATCAAACAGTATTTAATAGTAAGACGAAGAATCTGAATTCAACTACCGCGTTTCTTCGTATTATTGGCCGACGGCCCGACAGTGTTCTCAAATCTCAAAATGATAATATCGAAAGTACACAAATTCTACTACTAGGATAGCAATTCTAGTGAATGAGATGGAAATTATACTCACAATGCATCAACCACATGAAGAAATACTCACAATGAATCAACCAGAGTTGCAAATTGGATTTCAGTGACCTGAAAAGGTCGCAAAATACTAGTAATATTCAGCCATTGTAGATGAACATTAAGGATTCTGAATTCATCGAAAATCATATAATGCTTCCATGAAAATACGTATACTTCTTTTAAAATTTTTCAACGTGATTCGATTATAAACAATAGTACACACTAGCCTATACGTCCAAGTTTTTGAAAAACACTATTATATACGTCCTTTTTCAAATTTAAAGCAATTTTTTAAAAAGCTTTTGGTATATAGTTTATAGTATATAAATAGAATATAGTATGTCACACATTTTAAAATTTTAAGTGGAAGTCAAGTTAAACATTTAAGCCATTTCCAGCATGTAACGCATTTTAGAAAATTTCGGAAAATGGTCAATTTTTGCTAAATTATTTAGGGGTCCTTTTACTATTCTGGCCAAAATTGATTAATTTGGAGATTTTATTGATTTTTGAAAGACAAGAGGAATTTGTCTGGATCAACCCTGTGTCTGGCTTGGCCTTCCTGTATCCTGACACAGTAGCCCAAACAAAGATTTCGGAGGGACACGAGCATTTTTCCTCAACATTTTAGATAAAATTTACAAATTTTTCACTTTCACGAAAACAAATAAATCGCTCAGAAACGAAATGATTAGTCTTTTCAAACATTTAAAGCGATTTCCAGCATGTAAACGGGGTTCAATTTTCCGGGGCAGAGAGAGAGGGTCGGCTGAGGTTCACCTTTTAATATATTTTCCATCCACCAAAAGCTCACAGACTCACACTCTTATAATGGACAAAGTAAACTGCGAAGATAAACCAGACCCCTACCAAAAAACTACCCAGAAGGTATTAATATTGTCAGCGGTTCAATTTCTGAGTTTGCCAAATTTGGAAGATATATAAAAATTTCAAAAAATTGGAAAATGAAAAATAGCACCGTCTCGTTTCCGAACCTAGGCATCGCACACGGAAGAGAAGCCACTTGACCATTCGACTGGATGTTAAACGTTGAAAAGTCGGCTAATTTCATGTAATATATAGTGGTTATCGTGACTACAGTTTACCATGGGACAATGCACGAGAATGGTCAACTTTTGAAAAAATGGTAAAGCTCCCTCTTACTATTACGCCTAAAATTGACCATTTGCGAGATTTTGGTACTTTTATGGTAGACCAGAGGAATTTGTCTGGGGCAACTGTGCCTGGCTTTGGCTGCTGTATTCTGACACAGTAGCGCAAGACAAATGTATTTTTTAATTTACAAACATTTGTTTGATGCCAAAAATGTTTTCTACCAAATTTTTATTTTTAAAAGAATTCGCGAAAATTAGGATTTTTCCTTTGTTCCCCCATTGCCGATTTAGCTAAAATTTTTAAATTTATTAATGTATGATTTTATGTGTTCAAATGCATTGTTGTCATGAAAGAGCTCAATTCGAATTACTTCTGAAGCGTTTCGACGTATTTTCTACCGAATTTTGAAATTTCAAAAAATTAAAGAAAATTAGGATTTTTCTTTAGGTCCCCCATTGTCGATTTGGCTGAAATTTGGATATTGATCAAAGTATGATTTCATGTGTTGAAATGTATTGTTTTCATGAAAGAATGCAATTATTTCGACGTATTTTCTCTCAAATTTTTAAATTTCAAAAATTGACAAAAATTAGCATTTCTCCTTTGGTCCCCCATTGCCGATTTGGCTAAAATTGAGATTTATCACAGTATGATTTTATGTGTTCAAATGTATTGTTTTCATAAAAGAATGCAATTTTATTAATTCTAAAACATTTCGACGTATTTCCTAGCGAATTTTGAAATTTCAAAAAAATGACGAAAATTAGGATTTTTCCTTCCGTCCCCATCGCCGATTTGACTGAAATTTGGAAATTTATCAAAGTATGATTTTATGTGTTCATATAATTGTTTTTATGAAAGAATGCAATTCGAATTAATCCTAAAGCATCTCCAAGAATTTTCTACCAAATTTTTAAATTTCAAAAAATTGGCGAACATTGGGATTTTTCCTTTGGTCCCGCATTGCCGATTTTGCTAGCGAATTTTGAATTTTTAAAAAATTGACGAAAATTAGAGTTTTTCCTTTGGTCTCCATTGCCGATTTGACTGAAATTTGGAAATTTATCAAAGTATGATTTTATGTGTTCAAATGTATTGTTTTCATAAAAGAATGCAATTTTATTAATTCTAAAACATTTCGACGTATTTCCTAGCGAATTTTGAAATTTCAAAAAATTGACGAAAATTAGGGTTTTTCCTTCCGTCCCCATTGCCGATTTGACTGAAATTTGGAAATTTATCAAAGTATGATTTTATGTGTTCATATAATTGTTTTTATGAAAGAATGCAATTCGAATTAATTTGAAGCATTTCGACGTATTTTCTACCAAATTTTGAAATTTCAAAAAATTGATGAAAATTAGGATTTTTCTTTTGGTCCCCATTGCTGATTTGACTGAAATTTGGAAATTTATCAAAGTATGATTTTATGTGTTCATATAATTTTTTTTTACGAAAGAAGGCAATTCGAATTAATGCTGAAGCATCTGGACGTATTTTCTACCAAATTTTCAAATTTCAAAAAATTGGCGAAAATTAGGATCTTTCCTTTGGTCCCCCATTGCCGATTTGGCTAAAATTGAGATTTATCAAACTATGATTTTATGTGTTCAAATGTATCGTTTTCATAAAAGAATGCAATTTTTTTAATTCTAAAACATTTCGATGTATTTCCTAGCGAATTTTGAAATTTCAAAAAAATGATGAAAATCAGGATTTTTCCTTTGGTCCCCATTGCCGATTGCACAAATTTATTTTGGGATCACTTTCGATGGGAGCTTTGTAACCGTGCTTCTTTGAGTTATTTTCTACATTGAGCACCATAAATATACCTAAACTACGCTATGCTTCAGCGCTTCAGCTACGACTTGTTAGTCGAGAGGTCGTACTGCGTGCGAAATATCCCGGTTCAAATCTTGATAAAGCACCATGATTTTACTTCATTTTTCCTTTTTTTTTAAATTTTTTTTTGAAATTGAACGTCTACAATACCATTTGGTTAGTTTCAAGGTTTATGTGTGGGACAGGTTTTTGTTTTTTATTTGAGTTTCAGAATTTAAGCACTATATTTAAACTCCGAACGCTGAATTTAAGCTCCCAGCAAAAGTGATCCCAAAGTGAATTTGTGCCAGGCCGCCATCTTGAATCAGGCCTGGTTACAAGGCAAATTCGAAAAAGTGAGCCCAAAATATTATTCTGCTTGCCGATTTGACTGAACTTTGGACATTTAATCAAAGTATGATTTTATGTGTTCATATATATTGTATATTGTTTTTATGAAAGAATGCAATTCGAATTAATTCTGAAGCATTTTGACGTATTTTCTCCCAAATTTTAAATTTCAAAAAATTGGCGAAAATTAGGATTTTTTCTTTGGTCCTCCATTGCCATTTAACTAAAATTGAGATTTATCATACTATGATTTTATGTGTTCAAATGTATCGTTTTCATAAAAGAATACAATTTTATTATTTCTAAAACATTTCGACGTATTTCCTAGCGAATTTTAAATTTTCAAAAAATTGACGAAAATTAGGATTTTTTGTTTGGTCCCCCATTGCCGAATTGACTGAAATTTGGAAATTTATCAAAGTATAATTTTATGTGTTCAAATGTATTGTTTTCATGAAAGAATGCAATTTTATTAATTCTAAAACATTTCGACGTATTTCCTAGCGAATTTTGAAATTTCAAGAAATTGACGAAAATTAGGATATTTCCCCCATTGCCGATATGATTGGACCAGAGGAATTTGTCTGGGGCAACTGTGCCTGGCTTTGGCTGCTGTATTCTGACACAGTAGCGCAAGACAAATGTATTTTTTAATTTACAAACATTTGTTTGATGCCAAAAATGTTTTCTACCAAATTTTTATTTTTAAAAGAATTCGCGAAAATTAGGATTTTTCCTTTGTTCCCCCATTGCCGATTTAGCTAAAATTTTTAAATTTATTAATGTATGATTTTATGTGTTCAAATGCATTGTTGTCATGAAAGAGTTCAATTCGAATTACTTCTGAAGCGTTTCGACGTATTTTCTACCGAATTTTGAAATTTCAAAAAATTAAGGAAATTAGGATTTTTCTTTAGGTCCCCCATTGTCGATTTGGCTGAAATTTGGATATTGATCAAAGTATGATTTTTTGTGTTCAAATGGATTGTTTTTATGAAAGAATGCAATTCGAATTAATTTTGAAGCATCTCAATGTATTCTCCACCAAATTTTGAAATTTCAAAAATTGGTGAAAATTAGGACTTTTCCTTCGGTCCCCCATTGCCGATTTGGCTAAAATTGAGATTTATCAAAGTATGATTTTATGTGTTCAAATGTATTGTATTCATAAAAGAATGCAATTTTGTTAATTCTAAAACATTTTGACGTATTTCCTAGCAAATTTTGCAATTTCAAAAAATTGACGAAAATTAGGATTTTTCCTTCCGTCCCCATTGCCGATTTGATTGAAATTTAGAAATATATCAAAGTATGATTTTATGTGTTCATATAATTGTTTTTATGAAAGAATGCAATTCGAATTAATTTGAAGCATTTCGACGTATTTCTACAAATTTTGAATTTCAAAAAATTGATGAAAATTAGGATTTTTCTTTTGGTCCCCATTGCTGATTTGACTGAAATTTGGAAATTTATCAAAGTATGATTTTATGTGTTCATATAATTGTTTTTATGAAAGAATGCAATTCGAATTAATTCTGAAGCATCTCGACGTATTTTCTACCAAATTTTTAAATTTAAAAAAATTGGCAACATTAGGATTTTTCCTTTGGTCCCTCATTTCCGATTTGGCTAAAATTGAGATTTATCAAAGTATGATTCTATGTGTTCATATATATTTTTTTTATGAATGAATGCAATTCGAATTAATTCTGAAGCATTTCGACGTATTTTCTACCAAATTTTGAAATTTTGCAAAATTGTAAGAAAATTAGGATTTTTCCTTTGATCCCCCATTGCCGATTTGACTGAAATTTGAAAATTTATCAAAGTATGATTTTATGTGTCCATGTATATTTTTTTTTTGAAAGAATGCAATTCGAATTAATTCTGAAGCATTTCGACGTATTTTCTCCCAAATTTTAAATTTCAAAAAATTGGCGGAAATTAGAATTTTTCCTTTGGTCCCCCATTGCCGATTTTGCTAAAATTTTGAAATTTATTAAAATATGATTTTATGTGTTCAAATGTGTTGTTTTCATAAAAGAATGCAATTTTATTAATTCTACAACATTTCGACGTATTTCTTAGCGAATTTTGAAATTTCAAAAAATTGACGAAAATTAGGATTTTTTCTTTGGCCCCCCATTGCCAATTTGACTGAAATTTGGAAATTTATCAAAGTATGATTTTTTGTGTCCATATATATTGTTTTTATGAAAGAATGCAATTCGAATTAATTCTGAAGCATTTTAACGTATTTTCTACCAAATTTTGAAATTTCGCAAAATTTTAAGAAAATTAGGATTTTGCCTTTGGTCCCCCATTAGCAGAAATTACTTAGCAGAAATTTTTAAATTCATCCGAAAGTATGATTTGATGTGTTCAAATGTATTGTTTTCTTAATAGAATGCAATTCTAATTAATTCTGAAACATTTCGACGTATTTTCTACTGAATTTTGAAATTTCAAGAAATTGACAAAAATTAGGATTTTTCTTTTGCCATCCCCCCCATTGCTGATTTTGCTGGAATTTTGGAATGTATCAAAGTATGATTTTATCTGAATGCTGGATAAAAAAAGTTTTCACAAGAAAAAATAATTAACGGATGAAAAATTGGCCAGAAGAAAAAGATGTGACAGGGAAGAAAATTGGTCAAGAATAAGAATTTTAACAGGAAAAAAAATGATACAGGAATAAAAAATAACGGAAAAAACAGGATATGAAAAGAAATTTTGACACGAGTATTTTAATTTGACAGGAAAAGAAATTGAACACAAAAATGTCAACAAAGAAAATTTCGTCACAGAAAAAAATTGTAACAAGAAAATAAGAAATAGGAGCAAAAAAATTTGCACACAAGAAAAAAATTGCATGAAAGTAATTCGGACATAAGTAGAAAATGTTGACACAAAAAAATTACACATAAAAAATTTTGACACAAGAATAAAAATTTCACAGAAAAGAAATGTGGACAGAAAAAAAAATTTTGGGGACGCAAAAAAATTTTGACACAAAAAATGAGAAAAAACGTACAAGAAAACACACACAGGAAAAAAAAATTGGCTAGAAAAAAATTGACACAAGAAAAATTTTGGCATCAGAAAAATAATGACACGAAAACAATCTTGAACGAAAAACAATGTGATCAGAAGAAAAAAAAATTGGCAGCAAAAATATTTGGCCACTGGAAAAGAATTTTAACTGGAAACAATTTGGTGACGAGACAAAAATTTTGACACAAGAAAAAAATTTTGACATTAAAAAAGTTGACACAAGTATAAAAAATGACCGGGAAAAATCGGACATAAAAAACAATTTTGACACAAGAATAAAAATAAAATTGACAGGAAAATTTCGAAATTTCAGTAAAATTAGTCAGTTTTTAAATATTTCAATACTCGGTTTAGAATACTTTGAAATGTTTCAAAAATAAGTGAAATTGCATTCTTTCATCGTACAGTTGCCTATCTCGCCCCTGGTCCTCACAGCACAATGGTTATGTCTATGACTCGAGTGGCCCCCTTGAAAAAATTAACTCTACCACGACTAGAATTAATGGCAGCTGTAATGGGAGCAGGATTAGCTTCATATCTACGCAATAACCTTAACATATCGCGAATTGTCTACTGGTCCGACAGTCAAATAGTCCTCCACTGGCTTTCCTCTACGTAAGAACTTAAATGCCTTGTCCAGAACCGCATCGATGAAATTCACCAAACCACAAACAACGCCAGCTGGCAAGTTCGGACAACCTAGCCGATCTCTTGACACGCGGCATTCGAACCGAAACTCTTCTCGCCTCACACGCGTGGAATCATGGTCTTTCTTGGCTATCAAAACAGGATAGCTGGCCACAATGGGATTCAAAGACGGTCATCTTACAATCCTCTGCCCACGACGATCCAGATACTACCCATGTTACCCCACCACACAGCGATAAATCACAACAATCTCCAATTTCACCTTCACCTTCAGACAGCACTACCGGCAAGTCATCGCCCATACCCAATTCAGTGATCTTCAACGACTTATAAGAACTACAGCATGGGTGATTAGATTTACAAATGTTCTTCGAAAACGCATTAACACAACTTTTCAATTCTCCGGAATTAGAAAGCTGACTAAGTAAACGTGGCATTGTTTAGAAATTTATTCGAAAACGAGCACCGTGGTACGGCAGATTCTGGGAAAGATTGATTGGATTGACAAAACTCTCTCTGAAGAAGGTCCTTGGTAGAGCAAATATCACCCTCGAGGCTCGAAGAACTACAAACGATATCAACCGAGATTGAAGCTGTCCTCAATGACCGCCCTTTAACATACGCCTCTTCCGAACTCAGCGACGAAGATCCACGCACCCCATCCCACCTACTATACGGCCGACGAATAACCACCCTACCCCACCTGCTTTACGACGATAATACTCCCAACGACCCGTCCTATCACCCTGAATCAACCAGTATCGAAATTCAAGCAAAAGGGAGGAGTGATTTGTTACAACACTTTTGGAAACGCTGGCGTGAAGGATACTCATTGTTTTCACAGTCAATAAATAAGATAATTATTACCATAGCATGACTAAATTGTCGGGCTGGCTACGGCACTGAAAAACATACATGTTACACAACAATTATATTCAAAAAACATATTTTACTTTGATATATATGACAATATGGCGGCTACAATTTTTCACTTGTTTCCCTGGAGGAAAACATTGCATTATTTAAAGTCATGTGACTACAAATGAACCAATCGCATTTAAAATACACAGCACTTATATGACAAAGCATGTTAATTCATTCAGAACTAATCCTTCAGAGGACGGAAGTATTTTTGACAGCTATTCAACTATAATGTCTGCCTTGGGATAATGAGCATCTCCCGATGATATTTATGATTATATAAACTTTATATAAGGCTTTTATTTTAGCTTCAAAACTTCCTAATCAAAATAATGTTCAATTACGTCGTGAAAGCGATAAGTGTTTGCCTGATTTGTATGTTCCGGTTAAAATGTAGATCTCTTCAGTATGTATTCAAACTAACCTGTTTCAAATCATATGGTCTGAAATAGTTAAGTTTTATTAGTGGCGTAGCCAGCCATACGATTTTGTCCCGCTATGTAAATTTCGAGTTATTATATAATTATTCATTTTCTTAGAAATATATTGTTACAGTCAGTGAGTGAACACAAAAATATTAGCATAGCGGGACAAATTGACAGGCTGGCTACGCTGCTGAATTTTATTGGCTATTCCATGGGGCAAATTTCTAAACGAACATCGTATACGTGTCAGTTCATCAAGCAAAGCACAGCATGCAGTTCCGCCGTAACGCAAGATTTTGCGGTTTTCATCTTTTTCTTCGCACTACCTAACTAGTCTGGAATTCGGAAAAACAATGAGATTTTTGCCTTCAATTTTAAGTTTCATTCGCATTCAACAGCGGCTATTTACGCGTGGTTCTATGCCAAAGATACGTAGTTTCTCTGAGAGTCCTATGCTATCAAACAACACCGAAACACTGCCGTTCTCTGCGATACCTGGCCCTAGAGGAACCGTTTCAAATATCCTGGGTTATACGTTTAGCAAGGGAACGCATTTTGATAAAGTAAAGAAACGTTTTCAAAAGTTCGGCCCAATTTATCGCGAGAAAGTCTTGGACATGGACATTGTGAACATTTACGATGTAGATTCCTTGGCTAAGGTTTTAAACACAGGAGTAAATTTCCAACTGAGACCTGGCGCAGAAGCAATTATGGAGATTTTTGGCAGAAATATTTCTGGGATTACATCGTGTGATTATAACGAGTGGTATCCGGATCGATCATTGCTATCGCCGATGTTCTTACGACCAAAGGAAATCCATAAAAGCATATCCATGATAAATGCTGTGGCCAACGACTTTGTTGAGAGATTACACCAACTTAGAGATCAAGATGGAACAATAAAAGACATTGAAAAGGAACTGTCTTATTGAAGCGTTGAGTCAAACTATTCGTTCATATTTAATGGACGTCTTAGATTCCATAAAAATCTAACAGATGCAGATGTTCGCATGTTTATGGACGCAGCTTGCGAATTGATGCATAACCTTGGACGTATCCTTGATATGGGTCCATTTCACAAGTATATACCAACACCAGCATATTATGCAGCAAAGAGGAGTATAGATACAATGTATGAGTCTTACAACAAATTGTCCAAAAAAGGAGAAAATATACAAAACCCAAACTCGCTCCCCGATTATCACATCGTAATCCGCAATCATGACCCTTTTTCCATGGTAATATTTCAAAATACTTCCTTTCATTAAAACTAACCACATTATACCTAGCCTCCTCCGCAGGCATCTCTTCTGTATTTAAAAATTCATATTTGGCTAATTGGCTTGGGTATCATGATCATCTCCCGATGATATTTATGATTATACAAACTTTATATAACGCCTTTATTTTAGCATCAAAACTCCCATTGTCAAAATACTCCAGCTGAATTAGTAATCACATGATTTTGCCTGATCAAAATAATGTTCAATTACATCGTAAAAGCGATACGGTGTTTGCCTGATTTGCATGTTCCGGTTGAAATGTAGACCTCTTCAGTGTGCATGCAAATTAACCCGTTTCAAATCACATGGTCTAAAATGGTTAGGTTTTATTGACTATTCCATGGTCACAATTTTTAAACAAACATCGTAGACCAAGTGTTCATCAAGCAAAGCAATGTGACAGCAGTTCCGCCGTAACGCGAGATTTTGCGGTTTTTATCTTTTTCTTCGCACTACCTGTAACGCAGAAGTCATCACCGAAGTAGCATCTGGCGTTCTTATAGATAATGATGACCGTTCATCAGATTCAAAGGCCAAATGGGCAATGTTTATAATCATGACACTTTTATAGTTAATGAGATTATGATTAAAAAAACAATGATTTTCACAAATTATGCCGACCTCTGTCCACCTATATAACGTAGTTTTTTTAACATAACTTCAGTTGTACTGTTGTAGTAAACAAAGTTGTCTGAAATATACTAAACAAACTAACTCAAGTCAGGTAACGGATATGACGTTTCACTTGAACTTTGATATTCTTGCAATTAAGAACTTTTGTCTTCTTGGCATGGTGTGCAATACATGTTTCATTTTTTATAAAAACAGTTCATGTTATCCATTTGATCAAAGTGCTGCTTGACCGCCTAAACGTTGTGGGATGTGTCAACACACACAACCGCCTTCAGTTGAAAAAGGTGGAATTTCGCCATGTGAATATGCCAGATTTCAACTGCTCCTCGATCATCGCATCGTAATCCGCAATCATGACCCTGTTTCCATGGTAACTTTACGGCTGAATACTTTCCATCATTAAGACTAACCTCATAACTTAGCCTTCTCCGCACGCATCTCTTATGTATTTAAGCCGGTTTTCCACTAGCGATATTTTTCGCGCGAAGCTACATTATTCCTTTGTATTTGAGCAATTTGTTCCAGATGGTTGCAGTTGAGAGCTCTGAAACAAAAGTAAAATGTCGCTTCGCGCGAAAAATATCGCTATAGTGGAAAACCCGGCTTAAAAAATATGTATGCAATGCATACACGTGGGTAGCCTCCAAAGCATTGGCAAAGATTTTATAATTATTCATGTCGTTAGAAATATATTGTTTTCACAATCCGTAAACAAAAAAATATTAGCATAGCGGGACAAATTGACAGGCTGGCTACGCTACTGAGTTTTATTGGCTATTCCATGGTGCAAATTTCTAAACGAACATCGTATACGTGTTCATCAAGCAAAGCACAGCAGGTCTGCCGTAAAGCGAGATTTTGCGGTTTTTATCTTCTTCTTCGCACTACCTAACTAGTCTGGAATTCGGAAAAACAATGAGATTTTTGCCTTCAATTTCAAGTTTAATTCACATTCAACAGCGGCTATTTACGCGTGGTTCCATCATGTCAAAGATACGAAGTTTCTCTGAGAGGCCTACGCTATCAAACGACACCGAAACACTGCCGTTCTCTGCAATACCTGGCCCTAGAGGAAACCGCTCTTCTAGTGTGTTATACGTTTAGCAAGGGAACGCATTACGATAAAGTAACAAAACGTTTTGAAAAGTTCGGCCCAATTTATCGCGAGAAAGTCTTGGACATTGACATGGTGAGCATTTACGATGTAGATTCCTTGGCTAAGGTTTTAAACACCGGAGTAAATTTCCAAATGAGACCTGGCGCAGAAGCAATTATGGAGATTTTTGACAGAAATACTTGTGGGATTACATCGTGTGATTTTAACGAGTGGTATCCAAATCGATCATTGCTATCGCCGATGTTCTTACGACCCAAGGAAATCCATAAAAGCATATCCATGATCAATGCTGTGGCCAACGACTTTGTTGAGAGATTACACCAACTTAGAGATCAAGATGGAACAATAAATAACATTGAAAAGGAACTGTCTTATTGGAGCGTTGAGTCGAACTATTCGTTCATATTTAATGAACGTCTTAGCTTCCATAAAAATCTAACAGACGCAGATGTTCGCATGTTTATGGATGCCGCTTGCGAATTGATGCCTAACCTAGGACGTATCCTTGATATGGGTCCATTTTACAAGTATATACCGACACCAGCATTTCATGCTGCAAAGAGGAATATGAATACAATGCACGAGTCCTACATCGAATTGTCCAAAAAAGAGAGGCGAGGAGTGAGGAAGACGCGAGTGAGAAAACATCTGTTGCTGATCGTGTATTTGCAAAACGGAAATCGACAAAAAAAACTATCACTTTGCTTGTTGGTTTAATGGCGGGTGGAGTTGATACCATCAGCTCCACATCTTTGTGGCTCCTTTACTTACTCTCTCGAAATCCAGACAAACAAGAGAAACTTTATCAGGAAGTAAAACGTTTTGATCCTGAAGAAGAAATACCCGTTAATAAGACCCCCTCGTACCTCAAAGCAGCTTTCAAAGAGTCGCAACGCCTGCACCCAGTCGGCTCAATTTTACCTCGTATACTGAGCCAAGATATCGAGCTTCATGGTTATCACATACCAGCAGGTGTAAACATCATGTTCCAGAACCATTTAGCGTCAATTGATGAGCACAATTTTGGCGAAGATGCAAAGCAGTTTGTGCCAGAACGATGGCTTCGTGATGTTGATACTGGAAGGGTGAAAGGTTTTGATCCCTTAAGTTCATTGCCATTCGGTCACGGAGTGAGAATGTGTTTAGGACGGCGAGTAGCGGAGGCGTATATCTACACGTTAATGAGCAAGATTTTATTGAAATACCGAGTAGAGTTGTCTAGTAAACAGAATGAGATGAATCCGACCTTGAAAGGAGGCATTATGAGGCCCGATAGTAAAATTTTATTAAAATTTCTATCGAGAAATTGACGAACGAAGTATATACATTTTCGAAACTGGACAAAACTTTTCTTCTCTACAACATTTCCTAGGCCCTGTTCATATGATCCCGCTTACTGAGATGTCTCACCTAGCGAGATGAAAAGTTCCATGTGTTCATATGGTGTTTTCATCCCGCTTGCCGAGATAAAAATTCTTCGTTTCCATGGTAACTTTGTGGAAATAATTTTCATCGATACAGAATAAAACGATCGCTAACGCGATTTTTTTGCCTTTAATGATTGTTTTGCATCGTAGGACATTAGTTAAGCAATATTTTTGATAATTTGTACTAACCCAAACGTGAAATTTGCTAAAAATCGTGCAAATTAGCGTTAAATCGAGTATTTATAGTGTTTAGATTTCATCCCGCCAAGCCCGTAGCGCGTTCATATGGGAATCAATTTATCCCGTCTACCTATGATCTCATTTTTCATCATTCTATTACTTTTTGACAAACTGTGGCTAACTCAACGTTTTTTTGTTAAATTCATATCCCTGCATTATTTTTTATTAGTTACTCCGGCGTCAGCGACGGAGTTGAAAATTCGCCTCGGTTTTGTTTTGTTTTTGTTTTTGTTTTTTTATTTTTTTTTTATTATTTTTCGTCGTCGCAAGTCTGTAATGGCGCGAAACATTCCAGTATTTAAAATGTGTATGTGATTGGATTTATCTATGTCCCAGTCTTGTCTCCCAAGAGTTGTGGTGCACAGCTTTGGCTAATTTTCCGATGCGCGATTCGATTTCGCTCGCATGATACGGCAATTCCTCCAAGAGGAACAAATAAACCGTTCTTTTCATGCTTTTCGATTAAGTTTAGACTGAATTGGGGTAAGAATATATTTAATACGTGTAGATTCTGGTCCTATTTTAGTAATATCGCTGCTATTTCGCCGTTTAACAAGATGATGTGGTCGTGTATGGGCGCTATAACTATATAAGCGCGAATTCCAAAGGCAAATTGTAAGACAAAGCGAATGTATCATACCGTTTATTTACATTCTTGAACGATTTAACTTCTATACTTTTTAAAGTACGATGTGCTTCTGAATTTCGCGATCGAACATTTAGGTTCGCAAGGCATCTAAATGCGAATATGAACTGTATTGTTTATGTTCAGAAGCTCTATATTGAAGACTGGCACGTGCGCCGGAGTTAACGCCAGAACAGGCGTCTTGTTTAATTTATGTCCATTATCAAAGTTTTTCAATTCAAGACAATGTTTTTAACATCCATCGACAATCAACTAGCGACTGATTGGGGATTTCTAACAGGTTTTTTCACAGTCTATTATATTTTACAAAATCAAACGACATCCATTTTGAGACGTTATAATCTGTGGAGCAACAGACAATAGTGCAAATAGAATGGAAAGCCGGGAGATCAAGCTAATGGACTAAATGCAAAGAATAGCTTCTTATTACACCAATAATCCCACCTTTGAGGCGTCTTAGAGATTCCTTCCCACCTTATTACGAGCTTCAAGGATTCTGGTGTTACCATACGTGGCAGTGAATTAAACCACGCTCTTTGAGTTTACGACACTCTTATACTATGTCCACAAACACTTCTCACGTCTC